AAACATTTGGCTCAAGGGTCTGTGAGAAGAGTCTAGTGGGGGAATGTCAAAATATGTTTCCCTGTTTTTAGACTTTTCCATAGATGTTCTTTGCTGTCCACTGTCAAAATCAAGATGCTGCAGTAGATTGACCTTGGGCCAGAATGAAGGCAGGCAGACCATATTAGAGCATTTGGAATGCTGGTTCTCCTAATAATGGTTTGGGTTTTTTGCTTGTTTGTTTTTTGTATGACATATTATTTTGCAGGCAGCATTTACCAAGAAGCAAAACATGTTCACATGAGGACATCGAATAATTTCGTTTTACATAGTAACTTCCATATAGGTGACAACTGGTGAAAATGACTGTGCTGTTGAAAGGCTCACACTGCAGTGCCAGCAAGACTAGAAAGAATAAATGGGATGAAAACTACTTTTACTTCTGTTTTAAGATGTTAGGGTCACTAGCAAAACAACAAAGCAAGACAAGATTCTGCATATCCTGGAGAAAAAACCCTCTTACTTCAGCAATTGCACACTAGACATTGAGAAAGGATACCCACATTTTCTGGTTAAAATAAATGTGAAAAGCAGTAAGGGAAAAGTTCTACTATGAGACGCCATGAAGAGTGTTACTTATTAAGCAGATACCCTCTTGCATGCATGCACACAAAATTAGCACAGCAGAAGCACAGCCACTGCCTGGTTCTTGGATACAGATTGATTTTTAGGTAGGGAGCGTTAGCAAGGTTCAAAGGGAACACGCTAAAAGGAGGTTTCTGAGGAAAGCATGTATATCTATTATTGATTATATTAGCTGTAAAAAGACTTTTTGTGCCATCATGGACTTGAAGTGCTCTTCATGTTTTGTAGTTGTAATCCTGAGTAGTCTGAGTAAACTCTTGAAAACTTGGATGAGAAAGACACTTCTTTTAGCTGTTGCTAGGTAGAAATTGGAGAAGAGAAAGTATTTCTCAGGCTTCTTTACCATTTTGGTTCATACATATACCCACAAAACAAACTGTTACCCAGAAATGAGAAATTTATTTTAATCCCCACAATTGGTGACTATACTCTTCCAAGGGGTGGTGGTGGGGTCATCTACTTGATGCCTGGATGCTGAGTAAGGGCAGGGCCAGGCAAAATATCAATCATATTTCCTCATATAAGTACCCAACAAATTGCCCCTAGGAAATAAAATAATCTTATTTCTTTTGGGAGGTGGCTGCAGTGAAATAGCATTAATTGTACTTTGAGGTGTTCCCAACTGGAAGCATCTTTATAGCAAAACTGAACGACAGATTTGCTATTGAACTTCCTCTTAATCCTAATGGGCTTTCAGCATTTCCTATCCAGTGTCAGTTTATAGACAGAGTCAGGCCTCAGATCCTCCTTTCTAAGCACAGCCTTAAAAATTGTTTCTTTAGGTAGTCAGTCCCACCAGGAGTGGAGCACAACACTGTGTCTGTGAAGAGAGAGCCTGTGGTTCCCAGGCAGCCCAGTAATGCTTCACATCTCAGCCTCTCTGCAGGATGGTGCCCAAGGAGTGAAACACCTGCCAGTTCAGCTGCTGCTCCTCTACAAACCTTTGTGGTAAACACGGTCTTAACTTTTAATGCAGTGAGGTCTTAACCAGCAAGGCTGTGATGACACGTTAGTCAAGAGACAGAGTTAAAAATAACCACTCAAAAGAGATGCCTATTGCAGAAATACAATATTGTTCGAGATAGTCTCACGTAGGTGATATTTTCTCTGCCACTAAACTGGTAAGTGCCTGCTTAAGCACTGAATTGCAACTGATTTCATCAGCTACTTGGGTGTTGTGCTGCAGTATGACCTAAAACTTATACGTGGGTGAGTTGACTCCAGCTGTGAGTTAGGGGCTTAATGAAACAAGAGCTGCCATCAAATAAGATCCCAAGCAAAAGCCAAGGATGGGACAACAGCAAGAGGAACAAGGGCTGGGGAAGGAGTGCATGTACTGCACTGTTCCAGCTTGCTGGCCCTGAGAGCTTCCCATTCTCTCCTCTTTCTCCCGATACCTCATCCCCAGCCATGAGTGTTTCCCCACTTTAGACGTGCTCTTCACACAGAGCATCTCAGCCGATCAGCACAGAGGGCTTGGCTCTCCTTTGTAGAGAACTTAGCAGCTAGTGCTGCTCTCGGCTGCTTGTGTCCCCTCACCCATAGGGACACAGCAACAGCCCCTTCCCGTCTGCTTTCCTCCTGGTGGGCCTGGGGCCTCAGCCCCGTGTCCTGCCAGGCCCCCCTTGCACACCCCTGGCGCTGCCCTCAACTCCTGCTCCCTGCCCCTTTCCCTGATCAATGGCTTTCTAATAGAGCCACCGTTCTCTACTCCTCCTTTTGTAAATTTAAATCCTGCTCACTAGTACTGCTGACGTCCTCCTGGCCCACCTCTTGACTCCCCCTCCCTGCTTCAAGCCCACTTCCCTCCAGTATAAAAGGTACATGCCCCCATCAGCCGCCCTGCTTCTACTTGGAGCAGCGACTACCTGAGAAGCAGCTTTGGTGCAAACAGGTGAGTGCCTCCCTCTATCTGCTTCAGTGCTCGTCCAGGCTCTTGCTGGATTTCCTCTTTGTGGGCTTTAGCTTACCTACACTAACATACACAGCTGTGCTCTGTGCTGAGTGACTTTTGTCCAGTTTTGTAGCAAAGGAGACTGTGCTGAGGCAATGTGGCTGAGCCCTCAGGCAGTGGTGTGTCCCTGCAGGGAGAGCACAGGCAAGAATCTCCAGTGCAGCCCTGCACCTCTCGTGCCACTCAACCCTGAAATGGGCCATGGTCCCAGGCCTGGGTTCACCCAGGGTCTGATCTCTCCTGGGTACTTCCAGGGCTGCTTTTGAACATGAAAGTTATTCACGTTTGCATTGCAGGAGGTGTACGCACCGCTGATCTCCAGTAAGATGCTGGTTTGGGGATTAAAGAGTTAATAGAATCTTGTTTGGGGTTTAAAGAGCTAATAGCACCTTGTCTTCCAAGGACAACCATGGTAGGTTTGTACCTGATGGATCTGCAGCAGAGCTTGAGTTTTGTATGCTGAGAGCCCCTGTGTGCCCAGAGGCAAAGCCAGGCTCGTCTCCCGCTCCTCATGTGAGGCAAGCTATGACACCGTGACTTCACTGTAACTTTGTGACTTCAACTTTCCCCTCTCATGTCAATGGAAGTTGCCAGACTACTGTCACAGGTGTTGTTCAGCCAAAATTTGAAGACTTACTCTGCTTAGGCACCAAGCAGAACTGGCAGGTTAACCAAATAGCAGCGGTGCCGAATTTTGCTGAGATCCAGGAGTAAAATTATTCCTGAAACTTTTGTGTCAAGTTTTGTTGCAAATAGTTGGTTTTTAAATTTTTTTATGATTATTTAATGGTTGAAAATGGATGGCACACAGAGTGACTGTATGAGGTCTTGTTTTTTTTTCAACTTTGCCTTCCAAAGAAAGCTGCAGGTCTGTGGGAACAGGGGTGGGACAATTAGGAGTAGGAAAAATGAGGGAGGATTAGAGATGCTGAGCCCCCTGATTATTTAGGGGTGGCATGTTACTGAGGAGCAGAGGGAGCAATATGCTTTGCAGAAACCCTAACCAGGACAAGAGTATGAGTAAAATGTTCAATAAATAACAGCACTGTACAAGGTGGCTGGGATGATTGATTTAGGCATAGGACAGCTGGTGGAGACTGAAACATGGTATGCTTAGGAAAAAGTGTGTGCTAAAAGCTTTACTCTGTATTTTTGTCTTTCATCAACAATGAGCTCCAGGCAAGCTCTTCCTTTCTGTAACACAGTTCCCAAAAAAAACACAAGACACAAAACTGCCTGGTAAGGAACTGTCAGGGTGGGAAAAAGCCCTCTAGAAACCTTCACTGAATACTAGGGGTTAAGGAGTTTTTGACTGCATTTTAATTAAAGGCTCAACCAGGTTCTCCATGTGCCTTTGCTGTGCTGCCTGTTTGGTGAGCTTGGGAGCATCTTGCATTAAAGATTTTCCTTCCTGCTCTGCCTGTGCTGAAAGCAGGCTATGATTTTGGCAGCAACGCAGGAAAAACCCCACCCATACATAACGAGAAGCCTCTGTGTAGCCACAGCTGAGAGGATTTTTTTATAGCTCTGTGCTTCTGCATCTCCTGTAAGTGATGCTTAAGCAAACAGGGCTCCTGCTGACTTCTGTAGGAGCGGCTCCAGGCTGTCAAATATATAGGCAGATCTTGCATGTTACAAGACAGACTGTCCTGGCATGTCAGGTGGGAGAACTGCTGCAGGGAAGTTTGTACAAAATTCAGTCTCTTTTATCTACATAAACTTTCTCTCAACTAATTAATAACTATATAAGAGTGTAAAGGAAATTAAGCCAAGGCAAAACCGCGACAGCCAGAGACAGTGGTAACCCAAGCCTGGGTTCCTTCACCTTCTGGATGCAATTTTCCCAGTTTAGCACTTTTTGTTCTGCCCAGCCTGTCCCATGAGGAGACATTTCTCATTCAGTTGCATCTGGGTGCATTTACAGGATTGCGACATCTATCAGTGGAAACCATAAATGGAAATTGTACTTTTGCACTCTGGGTGTGATGATACAGGAGGATCATTCTCTTTCATATTGAAATGCATTTAGTTGTAAAAAGACTGTAAAATGCAAATGTTAGACAAATTTTACAAGTGAGGAAAGGATGCTGGAGGTAGTGGCTGAAACAGACTTTGGTGTGTTTTACACACACAGAAGTCAGCGGTGAGTTCAGGGCCAGGACTTGACTGTCCTATGAAACCATGTCAGGGGCTTTCACTACTGGAAAGAAAAACTTCTTTTGCCTCAGTAGATGGCTCACTGCATAGCCTTGACCTTCAAAGAGAAATGCCCAGGACATCCACAGCATCAGTGTTCCACAGGACTTAGAGCCAAGGAACGGCTGTGTTGGATAGGAGCACGCTGTTACAGTTGATGCATTACTTCACCTTCAGAACTTTAACTCACGTGTGTTCCCCACGTTTGCTTTTCTCCTTACAGCCTTTCCACCACTGCTCTGTCATGTGGCATCCGATCTCCTGGACACCACGTGCCCAGTGGTCTCCGAACCGCTTAAAGCTGGTCACTGTCTATGTGCTGGTGCTCTTGGTGTCGCTCAGCTTTGCTTCAGGACAGAGCAGGCCATTTAAACATCAGATAGACAACAGAAGTAAGTATGAATCTCACCTGACGTAATGGTGACCCCACAGTCTCTGCTGCACTGAGGGATCAGGGTTAGGCTGTCAGGCAGAGTTCAGCAGCAAATCCATATAGGTGAAACGTTGGTGCTCTGTGCTTCCATTTAACACTTGTCAGTGCATATTCAGAACTTTGTGTCTTTCTCACAGCCTTTAATTAGCCAAGGCAAGTAGCATTATTGTTGATAAATATCAGAGAAGACACTAATGTGCAAAAGATAAGAAAATGTAAGGTGATATACATCATATATTTAAGCACCAAGTTTTCAGCTGTATTCTGTAGACCTGATGTAGTTCACAACCACTTCTATATAACAAGAAAGCAAGGGCCAGAAGCTTATGTTCACTTTACAGACATCTTCATTTCTGTCTAGGAGCACAAGTTGTCTGAAAGTCCAAATACAAGTAGTTGAAGTATCTCCATTTAGAGATGCTGTGAGGAAATGAGGCTGGCCAGGTAAGGGACAATACCATGTGTCCCAAGTAAAAGCTTACACACAGTCCAAAAGATTTTTGAGAAAATCGTATCAAGAATTCTCGTCTTTTCCCAAGGAGCAAAGACTGATAGTTGTATGTGGAGTGGGAGAAAGGTCTGTGGGGACCAAGGTGCGTGGGCTCTCAGGAGCACATCTTTCCCCATTAAAGAGGGCTAGAGTTGTTGGGAACCTCAGATTTTAGGTACATGGGTGAAAAAAAAATAAGTTACTTGGGTTTTGTTGGGTAGGAAGCTGAAAGACTTAAAAGATATATTTATGGAGAAATTTAAAGGCAAAGTTAATTTTTTATTTTCTCTGTTAAAGCATCAAAATGCACTGGGGAAAATCCTCCTGCCTTGCCTGACACTTTCATATCACCGGGATGATATATAATGTGCTTAAATTGTAGTCTATTCCTGTTCCTGACAGTTCTCTGGCTTCGGAATGCTTTGCCATTTCCTTGGGGTGGGATCATCTCCAGCACATTGTAGAATTTCCCTCTTGCTATATCTTAGTCTTTTAATAGAACTATACCCCTCTCCACACCTGCTCCAGAACTGCACTAGACTACAAAAATAAGTCAAGTGTCAGATGCTTTAAAAGGAAAAAGAAGTCACTCATAGAAACAATTTGCTAACTGAACAATAATTAACTTCTAATGTTTACCCATCACATAGGAATCTCCTCTGCAATGCAGTGGATTTGTTAGCATGTAGAAATAGTATACCTGGTATACACTGCACAAAAATCTGATGGATAATTTGGGATATGTTAAAAATACAGGTTGCAGACAAGATGGATGAAAGTTCATTTTGTGTCTGAATCCTCTTCTTTCGGAGTCTATACATAGAAAGCAATTCTCAAAGGCACCAGAAAGTTGGGTGTCTGGCTTCAGCCTTGTTTTTTCTCGTGGGCTACATCCTCAAGATGTTCAGGAAACCCTGCCTCTAAGTGCAGTGGTAGATGCCTCACTGACTGCTTTGAATTCCAGGTCCTGAGATTGATCCTTTTTGGTATGTGGGCCGTGGGGTTCGTCCCATCGGTAGGTTTGGGAAGAGGCAGCTGAGAAGCAGCCGTGGCAGCCTCAGGCCTGTGAGCAGACACCTGGATTTCATCTGGAACGCTTTGTGGGAGCAAAAAATGTTGGACACAGAAGACAAGGACTGGTGACCTCCGTTCCCCAAGGTGGTGACTCAGTCTCTGTTCTTTGAATTGTGCTCTCTCCTGCACCTCAGACCTGCAGTTCTGCTTTTACCCAGCAATCCCACGCTGCTCTTCTTTTTGCTCCTTGTGCAAGTTCATTCAAAAAGAAACATGTTCAGGGTGCAGGTAAAAGACAGTGCATGGACATAAGCACCGAGCGCCACCACAGCTTATAAAAATGTTTCTTCATTGTGCTTCCCCACCAATCTCCTGATGCTGTTCACTGTAATGGCAGGTTTATCCAAAACCAACACAGCTTTTGGGCTAGGATTTAAACTTTGCAGTGTTAAATGTATCATGAAACCCTCCTGTCACATTTCCAAGTCAATGGCTATTGATATGTAAAAATAAAAAGCAATGGTTGGAAGACAGAAAAAAAGGCTCTCACTGATTTTTAATGTACCTTCATGCATTGATGGAATGAAATGCTTGTTCTCTGTGTGTAGCTTTTATAGAGATTATTAACATCCACTCATAAGAATGTTGCCCTGAAGTATCCATTGGCCCTTCATGATTCTTCCTGTACTGCTGGAGAGATATATTAATGAACAAAGAGGAGCTCCTATTAAAGATAAGTATTTTCCCCTACAAGGAAAAAAAAAATTGGCTAATTGAACTCCTTGGAGTATTTTTGTGCCTAATGCATATAATCATGCACCATTATCCAAAAGGGGTAAAGGCTTGAACTACCTGATTACCTTTAAAACAATGTAGCTGTTTCCAAGTACCTTATCAGAGCAAGCTAAAGTCATTCTTTGAGGATTGCAAGCCATGTACCATCTACAACATTAGTCCACGTCAATAAGCCTGGGGTTGTGGCTCAATACTCGTGTTTACTCATGTTAATATAACCCTTGTTATATTAATTTCATAAGAAGTGTTATTTACCATGTGTTTAATATTGATTAATAACTATTAGCAGGAATAATGATGTTTAATCTATGGCTTATATCCAAAAGATATAGTTTACAATTTAGGTAATGACTGATAGTTAAATCCAGGCCATGAATCATTCTGCAAAAGACAAAGTAGAATGAACTTCCACTTCTAGTTGTGCTTTGTTAGAATTACTACTAAAGTTGAATCTAAACAGATATCTTAACCCTTTTTTCTCTTTGCAAATGGTCTGTCAGCAAGGGATGGATTTTTATTATAATAAGGTAGTTACTACCATTTATAATACAATATATCTGCTGACCCAAAGTGTTACGTAAAACATGCTAGTTTTAATGAATTCTTTCACGGTGGACAAGATATGCTGATAATTATTTTGATCAGCATTCATTGCACAGGACTTTGGAAATATGAGATTAGGATGATTGGCAGGGTTCTTGCTCATATTTTGTAGCAATCCCAAAGAGACTTAAAGAAATTCCACCTGAGAAACTGTTTGAGAAACCTAACAGACTTGATATTTTAGAGAAGACTATCCATCAAATGTTCCTGACATGATTCCTCTCACTCCAGCCCTAAGGAAGGGAGCCTGAACTGAGTGTGTCCCCTTTCCCTCGACAAAACACGGTACCTCTGTGGAGCTGCCCCTCTCCCAGGTGCGACCGTGTCACTTGCGGACAGGCAGCACCTGAGCACGGTGTGCGGCTGTGTGTTCTGCACGCCTGCTGGCCAAAGTGCACATAAATTGAAACAACAGAGAAGAACTTTTTGGTTTTCTTTATGAATCAAGTCCTTGAAAAGGCATTCTTTTCATAAATCGCTTTTACTCTTTTATAATTTCTCTTGACATATAATTCTTGGTGAGTATGCAGATAACAACAACAAGGCAAGCTTAATATTCACTCAGACTTAATCAAATAGATCATATAGTCTTGATTTTACCCATTAAAATATTTTCATTTATAAAAATTAATCTAATTATAAATATTAACACTAAAGATTGAAATCACTTGATGACAAAATAATTCTTTGTGTGCTATAACATATGTTTTTATGATTTTTTTAAAACAGTAAATTATATCTTTGCACATATTTGGCACAATAAACATTTGTAAAAATTCAAATGCCTTAGAGCAGGTGGGATTTTTTTGAATTTTTTTTTTTTTGCAATGCCTACACAGTACACATTTTTCTGTCAAAGAAGACTGAATATTTTAACATTGTAACACAATAATAGTTGCTTTTCATGCCTCTTAAGGAAAACGACCTATTCCAAACTTCATTGGCTTGTTTAAATCACACTAACAGAACAAAAGCCAAAGAATTATTCTATTAAAATTAGTCATTTCTGTATTGATATTACATACACAATATTAGTTATTATTTATTAGACGAATATGCAGACCAACCACCATTAAAGACATTTCATAACACGCATACCTGCATAAACCAGAACCTGGGGAATGTATTGTATACATACACAAGAACAGTCAATGGAGGAAGAGACTGAATAACAAAAAAAGTACTAGGCATCCTACTCTGTTTAATCTCCTTTACTGGATTGCATATATGAATAAAATCCATTTGTTTTATGTATATATTTATATATTAAACAGAGTGGGCCAAATTCTGCCCTGACATCTGTGCAAACCAATTTTAGAGAACTAGTTTTGTGTGAGAGTAAAAGAAGGCCTAATTTCACTCAGAATGAACACACTGGGTCAGATCTTGGGCAGATGGAAATTCCTTGAAGGGATGGATTGACGCTTATGTATTCTAGATGGGAAGATGGATGTATTTATTCCAAGGGTTCCTTACATGCAGCTGGACATCAGAGTATGACAAGCTAGATGTCAAGTATGGGTAGCAGATTTGCATCTGGCACCATTTTTCCAGCCAACCTGTCCAGCCATTCCTTGTCTTTCCCACTTGCCTTCCTAAATGCAGCCTAGTCAGGAAATTTGCCCAGTTTTGCCCATATTTGCCTAACCACAGACATTTCATGGCCTGGCGTCTGAGGGGACTGCTTTCCTGCTGTATGGCAGGTAACGTGGCACTCCACTTGTGGGTGTTCACTGAGAGCCCAAGGAAAGAAGGAACTCTCCTCCCTCCCTGGTACCCAAGGCTCTCAGGAGAGCTTGCCACTCCTTAGTGCTGAGGGGGAACTTGCCAGCCTGTGCCCTTTTTCACAGCACATTTCACGCCAACCCTGTCTGCATTTGGGTACCTGCTCTGCCACCTGTGTGGAAGCTTATCACCTCCTCTACCTACCTCCTTTGTATTCTTCAGAGCATAAAATACCACGAATTGGCAATGCCCTTCCCCAGGGGGGTGAGAGGAACACCCTGTAAGCATCATATTTCCTCCAGGGCTTCTGCTCAAGGGTCTTCCAGTTTGACTCACCTTTTAAATGTTTCAAGAAATGAAAGAAGAAATATTACTATTCACAATCAAATTCAGAGTGGTCCAGTGGTAGTGGGGTACATGTGGCACCAGTAACAGGACCCAGCTACTCTATGTTGGCTATAGACTAGTAAAGGAAGAGATTTCTGGGCTGTTTGCCCAGAAATTTGCCCCCTTCTCAGAAACACCAGGGAACATTAGAAAGGAACCTCTTACAGGCTGCAGTCACTCTACAACCACCAGTCAGTCAGCAGAGATCTCATCCACAACACTTTTACTTTCTTTTTCCAATCTTAAAGTTTTGGACAGAATTTATTCTGAACTACAGTGTGGTTGGCCACCGTCAAGAGGACAATGCTACCAAGAAGAACAAGACATACAGAGGTGTTGGTTTCACAACAGGCTTCAGATGTTTCCAGACACCAAGATCATAACTCAACAGACATCTGGTCCACATGTGTGGCCACTAATTCATGGTTCAGCATGACATCCATGTTCACCATGCCACCAATTTACCTAGCTCTAGAGCATTCAATCTGCCAAATGTACCCTCAGTGAACAGAGAAGACTTTGCACATCACATCTCCTCCTACAAACCCTCTCAAAACTTCCACTGACTCCCTGGGAGCAGAGCTAGGTACACTGGTTCTCCACACCCACCATGCAGCTGAAAAGCAGCACACACTGCACAGAATTGTTCTTATTGCTCAACAAGACAGATGCCTATGTGAATAGTAAGAGGCGAGCAAATATGGATCACAGGTCTGCTTTGGCAGATAATTTGGCCTATAATTATGACTGATTGAGTGTACAAAAACATACTGCAGTTTAAAGACAACATACTTCAGTACAATCAATAGGGAGAAAAAGTGCATCTTAAAATGTGGAGCCTTGCTTTTGAAACTCAGCATCCTGTCTAGAGTCCCATGAGAACTTTAAGGCAGAGTTTCCTGTAGCAGATCACAATGCTGAAGACTTGGACAGCTTTTCTCAGTGAGGTATCCAAATGAAGCCCTATAACTGAGGCTCTGGGTTCTTGAGGGTCCATTTTCAGCTGGACATACACAATGGCTGTTAAATAAAGGCACTCTAGTGTACAGCCTTAGGCAGTGTGTTATTGGCAGTAGGGAAGTGTAAATTTAGTACATCACAGCAGATCCTATAGCAGGTTCCTAGAACAGAGAAGGACAGGAAAGAAAACACAAGTGAAACACAAAACAAGCCTGCTGAAGCTCCATAGACCAAGGTCCTTCCCCTTCCCACATATCCAGTGTCAGACTGCTTCAGAACAATCAGTTTTTTCCCTTTATCCCTATACGGCTGCTGTAGAAGAAATGATTGACACCTGTCCAGTGGAGCCTATTTGTTCAAATCCTGCAGAGAAATACGTGGCCTAACTACCCCTTAAATTCCACTTAGGCAACACTGGAACATTTCTCAACAACTAATGAGAATCAAGGTGACTCTTACCTGCCAAGTTACAGCATGCAGCTGGTTCTATGAGGTGCTGTTTCAGAAGTCTGAATTGCAGGGGACCACTAATTTATTAATTAATTTGTTTAAAAGTAAGGGTAGCATATTCCTGGAGAGCTGGCAGCCGGGTACATTTTCACAGGCTGACATTCAGGAGCTGCTATACTATGTGTATAGTTGGACATCTTCCAGGACACTGGTCAGATTTGTTTAGAGCTGCCTCGGCAGTCTCTATTTTCTTTCCTCTCAAACTATCAAGAGATGTTTTGTGAAGATGCTGAAATATAGATGCCTACACATATACTGCTATCTCTCTACTTACTGGTTTTAACAGAGTTTTAAAAACATTTACCATTAAGTCCTTGGCAGTGCTCTTCCTCTCTTTAGTTCTTTGTGTTAGAGATCCTTGAAGCATGAAGTTTCTGTTAAATGTCCTGACAGTGGCAACTGGAGAACTATTTATTGTTTCACCTGAGAAAGATGCAAAAAGGGAGATTTTTCACATAAGAGATTCAGGCAGATGTAAAAGTACTTATGAAGAGTCACAGCTTCCAGAGAGATAAAACTTCCCCTAAGATGTATGAGGAAAGATGGATTTTATTTAAATTAAAAACAGCAGGCTGTGGTACTCCAAATTTATTAAAGTTTGAGACTATGTCAATCTGTGGAATTACAGAAGAGTAATGCAAGGTGAATCAGGTCCTAGAACTGATTTTTTCAGCACCATAGGGCTAAAAAAAAAACCAAAAGGAGAAAACATAAAAGAAAAAAAGCACTTTATTTTATGAAGCAAATTCACAGCCATTGCCTAACATACCAGGAACATTGCTGAGCCACATCCTATAGACTGAAATCAGCAAACACAAGCTTTAAGAAAGTGGTGGATTGTGGAGGGTGGCAACTGGCTTTTGGTAAGTAAACACTTCGACCACTTAGGTATCACAAACTACCCCCAGGCATGCTGGAGGGGCAGTATGACTCTTGCAAGTATTCAGCATTCCTCATTTTCTTTTTCTAGCCTTCTGCCTCTGTTACTGTTTGTTTGCCACTGTCACAACTCTCACTGAAGAGAAAGTGGTGATGTTTTTTAGTATGACAAATCGGTATATTGTATAATGCATGTACAATGGAAAATGAGGAGGATGGACATATTTAGGCTTTTATTTTGTAATGCAATCTTTCCTCTACTTTGCTGAACCATACAATGTACTGAACTTTTAATAAAGAGAGTCTCTCTCTCTCTCTCTCTCTGTCTAATGTACATAATAATCGAAGCGCACCTTTTATTGGTGGAGCTGGAAGTTTTCTCCTCTGCTGTCTTGATGTGTCTATTGTATGCATCTGTAAATAACACATATGCATTACTCAACTCCATTACAGAAAAAGAGGCAAGATTTCCCCAATGTATTTTTGAATACTACATAATGTTCTGGCACCTGGTTTGTTTGCTTTTGATCCCGTTTCCTTGTCAGGCGAACACAGGGAGCCACGTTCAAGCCTGCAACAGTGAGAGCTGATATTCTGCTCTCAATATCTGAAATCTTCAAAGAAAATAAAAGAGAGAGACAGACAGATGGGGAGGGGGGAGAAGAAGTTTTAAAATTACTGTGGATGCCACTACTAAAATATAACCCTCCCCCAGTCAAATCCTCTTTAATAAAAAAATATAAACAGATGGCTAACTTCTTCAGCAATTCTGACACTTCCCTGAATTCTTTAGTCCTGATGTTAAAAGGGGCTCAATTTGTTAGTAAAGATGGAGTAAAAGAACAATCCAACCTACCTTGTGAATCCAAGGAAGAGGCATTTTACTCCTTTTGAGGAAAAAAAAGAAAGGAGGAGAGAAAACCTGCATCTGCCATCTCCCAGTTACCTTTAGCTGCATAGTCACAATTTCATTCAAACTGTGTTTTTCAAAGGCTACATTCAAAGAATGACTTCATGGGACACATTTCCTAACTCAAAATTATTTCATGCAAAGTACATCCTCTGTCACAAAATCTAAACATTTGATCTTAAATACTTATAATTTAAATGTATATGTATATTAAACACAAGCATGCAGGCACACACTATATAAAAACACTGAATGGAAAACAAATTGTTTGGGGGAAAGTAGTCTGATATTGAGAGCAGTGGAAACAAGTGCTGACAAAAGGGAAAGAAGTATCAAAGAAGTCAGACATATAATCTGACTCCTGATTCACCACGACACATGAAGCTGTTCATTCTGCAGAAGACCTTCCATTGGCCTCCTTGTATAGCTTAGGCATCTCTCCTCACCTGTCACCTTCATTAACAGATTTAGAAAATAATGACCAAAGCCAACAAAACATCACTGCCAGTTTGCCAACTAGTGTGACAATGCACTTCTGGCATCAGGGAGATGTCAGACTCTCAGAGTATTGCTCAGTCCTGAATTAAGCACGCTTCTGCTAAGTAAAATCACCAGCTACTTCCTATTAGACCCTGTCACAGGCAGTTCAGGGTGTCCTGCTGGATACAGACTGGTCAGTGAAATCATTGGCAGTGCAAGCAGTGTCAGCACCCTGAGGTCTGTCAGCATTACCTTGTTCAGCTTTTAGCACCCGATCACGATGTGTTCTTCTGAGCCTTAGAACTTCTGGAGCCTGCTAGAGTGATGCTAGATTGCATGCCACAAAAGCAAGTGCCTTTTGGCTGGGATGTGTGCTGCTTAGCACCTAAATCCCACTTGCAAGTGCTAGGTCCTGTGCTTTGCTCAGCCTCTGCCATCGGCCTTTGTCAGTAGAAAGCCACCGACACTGGCTTCTTTTGGGAAGTGCTTTACGACTTGCTGATTAGATAGACTGCCTAAGACTGTATTTGCAGTCTGACCACAGCCACACACGACACAGTGTGCACCACGTGAGCTGCCCGGCAGCAACCAGTTGTTCAGTGTTAGCATTGCAACAAGAGGCTGCTGCACCCCCATGTCCAAAAACAAGCCGAGGGAAGACACAAACAAACAGAGTACATCTGTCTGGGCTGAGTTACATATCTCAGTTACGCTTTGCTCGGCTCATGTGATGCAGTCAGCATCCTTAAATCATCAGACCACTGCAGTACAAAAGAATATTCAATAAGTGTGTGTGGTGAGGTGAGTGCTAGGCAAGGCAGTGGGAAAACTGCAGATGGGGAGGAGCTGCTGGCCTCACCTGAAGCTCTGCATGATGAACCTGGGCAGCTGCTGTGGCCACCTGATCCTCCAGATCAGCCAGCTCAGATTCTTCAGTAACACTGCTGATCTTGCGTGCGGCATCTTCCAGGTTGGTGAGCTGCCCCTCCAGCCCATACACCGTGCTGGCTGTCAGGTACACCTGCAGGGCCAAAGCAGGGAGAGATGTCAATGACTTCTGTTTTGTGGACATGGAGGTTTGAGCAGACTGCATTTTCCATGATACCTTTTGAGTTCCTCTGCTTGCTAACCCACTACAGGGAGACTTACCCGGCAGGAGAAAGGCATGGGGGAATAATCTGAAGCGCACACACACCCACAAAGAGACGGGAGGAATGAGGTGGCTGCATTACAAATCTCATAGGTGCTACAATGGTGTTCCAAAACATATTCGTTCCAGATTGATCAGCAAAGAAAAAAGTTGAAAAGTTTGCTTTTTCAATATTGATATTCAATTGCACAACAAACCCCCTAAGTCTATAAGGGAAAATCAACAGATCACGCCTCATATAAAGCTGTGTTTATTAAAACACGCCTAATGCCTTCTAGCAATCAAAGGTGCATGAATAACTGTTCAGCAGCACATAATTACTAACTTCCTATAGTCTTAACTGTGCTTACATGTATAACAGTTTTCCTTCCCATACTTCTCTCACCCAAATGTACAGCAGCCAAAACTTTCCCACCTCCTGGGCCTTTTAGTGAATCCTTGGAGGATCAATAGACTTATCTGGGCCTCATAAGACAGAATTACTGACTTTCTAATTTAGAGTTCTTCTCTAAAAACAAACAAGTTTTAATATTTTGGTCCACCTACTATACCTATGATAACTACAGCTAAACGTTTCATTTTCCATTCAGCTCCTCAGAGCAATAATTCACGATACACTGCATTTTATTGTTTCTTTTATTTCACAAAGACATCTAAGGTCCATGGCTGAATGGAGGTCTCTGGTTTTTAGAAAAGGATAATTTTCAAGCATTAACTTTTGGCATCTGTGCTTAAGACTGTGCAGAACCATGTGAAAATACTGTTCTTTCTGCCTATTTACTACGTTATCCAAGAGATTATTTCCACGAGGCTGGTAACAGCACAGTGGAAATGAAATATATATTCTGATTTTCCACATTAGCAGCCTCACTAACTGTAACAGCAGTAAAGACTGTGTTGCTACAAAACTAGCATGAATTAAACATGTTCTGTGTCAGACTTTATCGTTCTGGGGTCAAGCCAACAGAATCTACAGCAGATCTTTGAGCCAATACCTTCATTTCATACATGTCTTTCACTCTAGTCATTCTATCTGCCCAAAATTCCTAGATCACACAGTCCTTTGACATAGCAGGTATTCAAATAATTTCTGGCCATGTTGTTACTTCATGGATCAAAAGAGCTGAAGAATAACCAGATTAAAATTTAATAATTTACTTTTTATTAATTTTCTATTTCATTATTGTTTTTTAATTGCTTGCAAAAGTGTTTTTTTTTTCCTTGTATCAGTTGTTTCAAGGCATAAATGTAGATAGGGGTTTTTTCATACATGTGACTTTCCTAAGAAACAAATTCACTATATCTGTACAAACTGCATCTTATAAGAACACAAACTAACTGCAGGCATGAAATCTTTGGAAAAGATATCTAGAACAAATATGTGATCTCATTTAACATTTTTGCTGAAGTACTTGGAGACACAGGTGGTCCATAAAGTTAACATGCTGATTTAAATAGAAATGCTGCTGGTTTTGTGGGTTCTAATTATTCTTTCCATTCATTTAAATGATATATCTTTGTGGTATAACATATCACACACACTTCAGATTAAATGGCACTTTTTTTTTTAAATTTCTCTGTCACATCTAAAAGCTTAGAGAAAGAAGAAGAAGAAACATTTTGAACCAAAGCATCTTTAAAAAATTAAAGAAAAGTTGCATTTAAATGCTGTACCAAAAATCTCTGCACAGTAAGACATACTTTTCAAGAGGGGGGAAAAAATCTAAAGAAAACAGGACTGATAGAAAAATGTGGAAAAGGAAGGTCATCAGTGTTTCTTTAACTCAATCAGCCCCTACATTCGTTAAATTTTAATGAACCCTTTCCAGCTAGATCTAAAGAAAAGATTTTTCTAAAAATATTCTCTTTACCTGAACAATTGGTGCACTTCCCAACAGCAACGGTGTCCTTGCAGGACTCCCCTAAATGACGCTCTTATTTATACACTCACATTCAGATGGCGCAGATCTATTTTACCACCATTTACGTACAGCTTCCACTAAAACCTGACCTTGAGTGGGTACAGGTGGCCCTACATTCTCCACACTGATGCATGCCCAGTCCCCAAAATAGAGAGAGCAAAAGTGAATAGTGTCGATAAACACCCAGATCCTCTTCCAGAATTTACTGCAAAGAGGATGTGCTGCATACGATGGGAAAAGTTATGGATTCCTGGATTTCTAAAGGCTCTTTAACTCTACCATGGAATGCGGTGGTGAAATCTTGAAACTGAGAATTCTTGCCACCTACTTCATGTCCTGTGTGTGACAGAAAGATTTACTGTGGGGGCACAGCAATGCTAAACTGGATACCTTACGAATTCTGCAGGTAGCTGAGAGATATGCTGCAGTGAGGGCAACACCAAAGCAAGGAATGCTCAGCCTCAGTGCCTGCTTTCTGCTCCGTGAGAAATGCTTGGCCCAAATGAACGACTAGCTCCACACGCATGGGAGTCAGAGTGCAATTGGGGAAAAAAAAAAGCACCTTAAGATAGTTTACAACACAGTTCTCTACAGAAAAAAAAAGTGTGGGAGTAGGTTTTCCCAAATTGCTCTCTGTCCTGCAGAATTTCTTAGTTTTTCTAAAGATGTGGTCCAGCCTGGACTTCAATTTTCATTCCATATTCACTCTCCTACCAGATGAATTCTGTGGTGCTTGGAGCTAGGGCACTTTAGTATTTCACGGGAGAGAAGAATCTCCATCTACTCATCTACTTCCATTATTCTGAAAAAAATTAACTAAAGTCAGCTAGAAGTTGCTGAGTTCTAGGGGGTGGGTAAGAGGTCATCCTGTTAGTGTGGGCAGGGGGAAGGTCTGAGGTGGAAAAGGTTTTGGAACAGATGAGGTTAGGAGGGGTAGGACCTAGTTTGGGAACCTCCAAACTGGAGCAGGGCTGGGAAATTTGAGCTCTGAAAAGGTGTAGTGAGAGGATTGGGCAGCTGTGGGAAGCTGTGACAGGTCTGGAGTTGACAGGTTCAGTGCCAGGACTGGCTTTTCCTGCCATAGATTATCCCCCACTCTGTTCTTAGCCTGGGGATGATGTGGAAGTGTGTTTCTGTGGAGGAAACTGATTTTATCCCCCAAAAAGAGATCCTGTCTGAAAATTTTCTGCAGCTAAAGAAACACAGGATTTGTTTTCTTGAATTGATCAGGATGTTATAATGGGACAGCCCAGATTTGTACAAGACCTTTAAGAGCCCCTAATGAAGGGAAAAATCACTGAAATGTAATCACTCATATGTGGGAAGAGAAAATCGGAAGTTACAAGTGTACCAACTCCATTAACTGGTTGCATAAAAATTTCCAATGAGTAGTGACATCCCCCTAAGATTCAGCACTGTACTGTCTCCTGCAGATGGCAGGGACTCATGAAAAAGGATGGATGATTTGGATGTGGCCAAACAAACGTTAGTTTAATTCAGATCCTCCAGCCTACTCTTTCTAACAGTGCAGCAGGCAGCTTCAGCTCCCTGGGTGCTCAGCACAGTGTGCTGGGGATGTGTGGAGCGAGGAAGAGCTTCTCCACTTCTCTGTGTGGCTGGGGACATGCTTTCCCCACCCACCCTTGGAATAATGAGGCTGTGCTGAGACTGGGAGACGTGGCTTCAGCCAGGCATGGCACAGCTGCACAGACACAGAGGTTCGGTGTCAACTTTTGAGACAGAGATTCTACATTTAGTTGTAAACACCAAAGCATCCAGCTTCCTCTCCCCACAGTATTTTAAGGTATGCATAAACCCACCAACACAGTTAAGAACCTGTTGAAATTGGATTTTTGGTTCTGTTTGTGTATTTGTTTAATAACCCCAGATTAATTTTGAACATCCACTGATGCTGCTTATGTGCCTTCCCTTTCAAGTTGGTGCACACACAGGTACAGTCACTCACGCATGTGACTCTGACATACTGACTCATGTTCTTACGTTTTCTTCCAGTGTGGTGAGTTGCTCATCAAGTCTGATGGGGTCTGTACCCAGTGGGAGGGTCCCTCTTCCTCTGTCCTGAATGTCATCTGGGAAATCACAGGGATCGGTGGATTCTGCTATTAGTTCTTCAGTGGCATTGATGACTTTCAGGACTTCTGTAGATATGTTGCAGAGAGAGACAGCAGAGTACTTCTGTTTTGTTTACAAGAGCAGACAGAGAAAACAACAGCATTAAATTAGCACAGGGGGGTAAGATATAAACCATCTTGCTAACAGCCACAGCTTTAGCCACGCTAAAACCATATCCATGGCTAACTGCTTGGAAAAGACACAAGAACCATGTAATGGAATTGGAATCTACTTCTCTTTTCCTCCCTCCCTTTTTCAAATATGCACACTGCTACAGCATGCAGAATAACATACACATGCAGTTCTTCTACAACACACCTCTACAGGACGGATGGTCCAAATCTTATCCCAAAGGAGCAAACAAATATCCAGCTTTAAAATCCAAATGAGCTAGATAAAGCTGGTTTTGCAATAGTGTTTTAAACGGGTTTTAAAACACAGTTTTCCTTTTTGGATACTGGCAAACAGATGTCTGTCGTATGGAATCATCTGTCTCTGTATCCACAGGAGCCACTGCATTGCAGATGCAAATATGGGACAGCAATCTTCAGCAGCCCTATGAGGACAGCATTTTGCTAAAATGCTTGCTACGAGTTAAATGATCTCCCCAAATAACCATAGTTTGAGCTATCAGTGTGTAAACACTTGTATCTTTATTTCTTAAAAATTTCAGTTTACCATTTTAAAAAATATTTGCGAAATAAATTATATCAAATACCAAGGAAAAGCACGCAGCTTTATCCATTTTTTTAAACAATTGAAAACGTTTTTATCACTGTTTCTTACTTGTAATTTGTAATTAACTGTCCTGATTCTGATGATTCTCAGATAGCCTTAAGCTTCGGGCCAACTTCCAATGGCAATAAAATTTCACATGATGTATCTTGAAGCACCAAGCTCAACATCCAAACTATACAGCTTAAGAGATTGAGCCAAAGCTTGTCAAAGCCAATACAAATACCGTCACTGAATATATGTGCAATACCTTTAGTGCTGCTTTGCCTAAAAGAAAGTGTGGGAAGTTTAGACCAAAATTTAATTAATTTCTCAAACCTGCAAACACTTATGCATGTGAATTAGGGGCCCAACCATCTATAAATTTTCTCACAAACAAAATATCTGCAGATCCATACTGAGGAAGCAGACAGTTGTTGGGATTTCTGTAGTAAATTATATAGTACAGGAAAGTATAACTGATTAAAGATGTCTATAGGCAGGATATAGGAGAAGTAATGTTCTTTTGATTCCCACAAACTCTGGTGAGCTAAACTGGAAAACCTCTTTTATTATCTCTTTCCTTTGATTAGCTGTTCATTTTTATGTTAGATAAGACTCTCACTGAAAAACCAGTTTTTCAGCAGCAGGTACTCAATTGTTGTGTATCAATACATTAAGGCATCTTTAGCACTGTAACTTTTCTGAATTGCAAGAAATAATTAGAAACATGAGATTAAAGAGGAGAAGAACAAAGCAAATACAGTATGTTACAGCACTCAGACCTTTAGCTTGTTAGGACAGCCAACATAGCCCTGAACAAGCAGGCCTAGGACTCTCTTATTGAGAACAAATACTTGAATCCCATAAATAGCCTACTGTTTTTTCCATTTATTTTCACAAGTGCCAATTAGGTTAAAAACAGATCAATAATTTTATAGGACAGAAGAGGAAATCAATGTTATTTGCTTCTACAAATTCTTACTCTATTCTGTGAGTAGTGGAAAAAAAAGGAGAAAGGCCAGACACTACAATTTCTTCATCATCTCTACTGATGTATGTTCTCAATTTCAAGAACTGTAGCCTTGCTCTAGTGTTCATTATTCCTTAAATTTTTATTATCCTTTGTAGTCAATGATGGATGTCCAAAAATATTAAATTAAATTAGAAAGAGGTGGTTTTATACCTTAATATGAGAATCCATATTGGCATTTTTACAACTTACAATGAAAGAGTTTTTTCTGTTTTCCAGGTAAAGTGGTCAGTGATAGAGATCTTTGTGAAATTAAGATTTTGAGTAAAAGATACCTTTCCTTCTCAATAGGTAATGGATAGGAAAAAAAAGCTCAACAGGAAAGAACAGAATAGAATAGATTATTTTTCATTTGGAAGATGATCAGTGATCACCTAGTCCAGCCACCTGACCAATTTAGGGCTGACCAAAAGTTAAAGCACATTGTTAAGGACATTGTCCAAAAACCTCTTAAACACTGACAGATTTAGGCATTGATCACCTCTCCAGGAAGCCAGTATCTGATCAACCCAACAGTGAAGATATGCTTCCTGAAGTCCAGTCTAAACCTCTGCAGGTGCAGAAATGTGATTTTTAGATTTTCTAGAATTTTCAGATAAGTTCTTAGTGGCAGACAAAGTTCCATTTATAAAACCAAAGATTTGCTTCCCATTAAATACTGCACAAGGCAACTAGGTGAATGTTCCTAAAGCGTGGCCATCCTGAATGTATCTCAATCCCAGCCTGCAGGTATTTAGACACAGGAGTCACAACATTAAAGCTTTTTATTTAAGCTTGTGAAACATCTGCTTTTAAAGTATAACAAGGATACAGGACTAGAGTTTAAACATGGTAAAGAAATACATGGCAAGCAAAATTGATTTTCCTTAGAATATATCTGGAGAGTAGATCTCCCAGAACTTAAGAGCACAAACAGTATTTCAATGTATTTAAATCTAACATTTGTCAAAATTTTCTGCTAAAGGGTATTTAGAATTCAGCTGTACCTGGGCTGTATTTTACAGAGAAGCAAGAAGAGACTAATATCTCCCTGAGGGAAACATAAAATCGACACCTGGGGAGTTCAAGGGTTCTCAAACTGGAAAGACTGGATATTCAATTAATGGTTTTGCCTACGTTTTAGCTTCTTTTTTGAGCAACTGTCAAAAGCTGGTAAAACAGCCCTTGTTCCAACATGGTCAGTTTGTAAATCTAGTGGGGTATTCTAGATATAATTATTTAACATCTGTAAGGGGGAAAAAACCAAAAGAAATTAAAAAAATAATAAAAAATGAAAATATGTCCCAGGTTTTAGTACTTCACAACCCTCTCTCCTCCCACCCACATCCATCTTAGGATTTATGAGATCATATAAAAATCCCCTAAAATTCACAAGCACACCAAGATCATCCTGGTATGTGGACCTTTCAAATTGCTCTAAAGACTTCTTGGCTGTCTAATTTATCTTGCCCTTGCAGGAAAGGCCATTATTAACAAACCTAAGTGATTCAGAGGGACAGCCATCATAGCGTGATGAAGACTCTCCTTATCAAGCAGGTCAGAGAACTAATATGGATGTGGTAGATGTAGAAAGCAATCTCTATCACAAATACCTAGCACAGAAAAGCTGAGTGCAACCATTCTTCTCGAAATACTGTGATGCATTCTGATTTCAACAGTGCTACCCTACTTCTGAATTAACACCAGCCCTCCCCAATAAAATCAATGCAGCAGATCCAAGTTTGAATGTTTCTATTGATTATGAGAATTTCTTTTTTTTTTTTTACTGAATTTGAGAATAAGAGTTTAATGGAATGAGGAAAGCATGCATTTATTCTTTTTGTGATGATTAATGTCCATGGTCACAAATATGTTAAGGACACAGTCAAAAGGAGATGCTCAATTTCCCTGAGTTCTTTGTGGTTGAGTTCTAAAACCAATGAAATAATAAAAAAGTGTGTGTATGCAAGCACATATACATATATGTGTGCATTGAATTTAACAAAGATCTTGGAAAACTTCTTTTCTGTATGTGGTTTGACAGATGGAAAGGATTCCTTTTCTGAGAAGATTGTGTTTCAGTGGTCTAAGCTACCTCTTGCTGACTGTTAGCCACTTCCCTTCTGCTGCCTTTCTTTCCTTTTCCTGCTGTTGATGCCAATATTTCCTTTGTTGTTTTACTCAAGCATGCTACACTGGAAGGTGCTTTATAGACTATTATTTTGCATTCTTGCACAAAGGATGATGAGTGACTGAAGGAAAGCAGGATGATTGAATGAAAGCAGTGTAAATGTCCGAAAGGCTACAAGTAGGGGAGCATTAAGTCCTTGTAGGCATCTCAGCAGCCTAGGACACTTTCACATCATTTCCTTTGCATGAACATTATTGCTATTAATGCTCTTAAAATAGTGAAGTTCTCTATCACTTGCACTATATTTTTCTCCACATTGCATTTTCTCTTTTTCTGCTACTATAATATTGTGTCATCACTAGGTTCCTTTAAACGGGCATGGGAGGCAGTGACTTGCAATTCAACAGAGAACAGTGACAGCAACAGTCAGATCAAAAAGTAGAGCAAGAATACCTTTCCATCACTAGCAGCCATGGCATATTGCCCCCATCCTTGATTACTTGTGGTGCAATTATTTTTATCTGCAGTCTCAAGGCATTATATCATGCTCTGAGTCGCGTGCCCATTGCGCAGTTGGTATCCCCCATTTTTTTGTAGGGAGCTGAGGGGTGAGAAGTCAAGTTTTGCTTTGCCACTGATTAATTTGTCCTTTCAGAGTAACTTGACTGAATCCAAGCCTGATGACAACACAAGTGAATCCCAAAACCTGTCTCCCTTATCTCCCCACCCTATGGGAGTTCATTGTACAGCTTTGAGAAGGCCCTGCAGAAAAAAAAAAAAAAAAAGCCCAAAAAAGCCCAACAGAAGTCCTTCATGGGAAAGCAAGATGTGAGACACAAGTGACAGTGTGGGAGGAAGAGAGACATCAATGTCCAACTGTCTGTGGTCTGTGGCAGTCATCAACCCTGACCTTCAAAAGTGTCCTAAAAGTGAGTCGTAAATCACTCATTACCACAAAGACTGTGGGGAAAAAAAAGGCTAAAATTTGCCTTGATATTTGATGGAAGACAAGTATACTATGATGAACTGTGATATTAAGGAATTATTTTTCTGTGCAAGTTTAAGACTTTCGGTCTTGACCTTTAATGTGAATATCTTCATTTATGGGCACTCTTTTACAAAAAGAATTATCTTACAGACTGAGAGCTATTATTCCAGTGACATTCTCCAAAGTAAGACACAGAGAAATACAGTCTCTCTTTGTGCTAGGTAACTGTGAATATTGTATTTTTACTAATTCAATCCACAAACTTAACATAGGAACAGATGTTATGCCTATTAATTTGTAATGCCTTATTTATTGAGACAAGTTGCCTATAGTCATGAGAAAGGAACTGATTTTCCAAGAGGTGAAATATTATGGGCTAAGTTGGGAATGGAAATATTTACATTTTAAAATCCACACAGAATTCTGATCTACAAGGGACACAGGATGACATTGCACAAATGGAAAAATAATTTCACTTTAAAATCGCCCTCGATATTTTTACAAAATAAGACCAAGATAATGAAAAGATGATTAAAATTCATAGAACAAAATTTAAATCTGAGAGTAAGAAAAAAAAGAAAAAGTTGGAAGGAGAAGTGTTTTGCTAAATTAAGCATCAACTTTTGACACTAAAAAGTGATTCTTATTTTATGACTGAGAGAATGATATATGACATACTAAAAATAGCAAGTATTTTAAAATATAAGCATATGTTTGCTCAGGGAATATAATGAAAATGTGTTTTAATATCTGATCCTCATAAGCTGAGATTCAAACAGCATAGAATATGAAATCTCTTTCTACCTAGAAGAATGATAAGCAACAGACACTAGCAGTAAAGTAAGAAAATATCTACTCACTGTGTACAAATGCTACAATGAATTAAGGGTTTTGATTAATTTTTAAATTGGGAGCTTAGAAAGATTTTTGAAGACCACTATGGTCAGAAAATTTCCATCCAGATTTCTTAATACAGGTGAGCACATAAGAATAGAAAGATCCTCATCTTTGTCTTCTGTTCTTCTTTACTGATAAAACCAAATTATCATCACAAAGCCAAACAAGGGGGCCAGTCTGCTCCACATGTTTACTTCATGCTCATCGCTCCCATCATAATACAGGACTAGATGTGATTATAAAGTAATTTTCTGCAATGATTATTGATTATGGCCAAAAGGTATGGTTTCTCAGGCCTGATATTTCCAGGAAAACGTTTGGAGTTTGAGAATGTTGGTTGGGAAATGTGGAAACCCTCAATATCACTTTATGGCATCTCTTACTGCATAAGAGATGTAAGAAGACAGACAAAACAAAGCTTTCTCACCTGCTGCAATACAGTGGATAAAAACTGCAGCTTTAAATGAAGATCAAAAGCCTTTTGTTTTTCCTAAATAGTGGGAAAGCAGTTAAATGAAAAGGCAGAAAAGTTATATTAACAGCTACAAAGGTTAACATTTATATAGGTTCAGACTTACAGGGAACTTTAGGATAAATAGCAAGGATAAAGAAACTACTAAGAATAAAATACTATAAAATTTAGATTTTACATTTACTAGTAAAATATTTAAAATAAAGCAATGCCTAATTTATTTTCATTTGTGAGATTTAGAATAAAAGACCTCATTAAGACAGATATTGCAAATCACACTTTTTTCTATAAAATGAAGCAGATGGAAAATAGTGATTTCCACCATCACAAAACAAAGTGGCACTAGCAATGGAAAAATACTTTTGCAGCAGTGTTAAGATGAAGAAAAGCCAGTTATCTTCAATTTTGGGGTGTACATGATTGCAATTTGGACACTATGGTGTTCCTACTTACAAAAGGTCTGTACCTCACTTAAGCTACTGTCAGATGCTCAAGTAGGAAACACCTGGGCTAAGTTAAGTAAGACGTCCTGTGCCAAATAACTTCCTACTGTTTTCTGCTGTCCCTCTCTTGGACTCACTGTCCCAAAACAAACAAGTAAAACCCTTCAAAATAGAACTCTTCAGTGCCCAGTCAGTAGGCTTACCATAATCCCCCTAATTTGCATAGGCCTGTTTAAACTAAACTGACTGGGTTTGCCCTGAAATAATGACACAACCACAGTCACCCTGTTGGCTGTGCTGGGACAGAAGTATCTTCCATCTGAGAAGCAGCATTTCCTTGAAACTCTTCCAGCTATATCTGAAAGACCTGAACTTTCATTGCCAAGTCTCTGGGCAGCTTACAATAATTCCATCAGCTTGCACTAATCTTCACTGATTTTCTGCAACTTTATCTGAAAAATGGCTGGTACATTTTCTCCAGAAGTAAATAAATCTTTGGTGATCAGAGGACTCAAGGAGATTCTCCTTGTATGCATGCTGGACAGAGCTGGCATGCACGTACAGTATCAAAATTGAGACTATAGAAAGAATGTTGTTGACAGAGATGCTGCATTCCCTGTGTGAAGCCAGCTGAAGTTTCACCAGAAGTTCCTGTACTTCTCCAGGTAGATCCAACAGGGCTTTGATTCAGTTGCTTAACCACAGGCAGACAAAGTGCAATTTGAAACATCTTGAAGTATGTGAGGGTTTTCAAACAGCACTGTCAGATATGACATGGACCTGGGAGATGCATTTTTGCTCTGGACTAGCAGCTTAAGGCCCTGTGGGACACTCTAAGGCATCTCAGATGGTCCGTCTATATCACTATGCAACTATATTAAGCCCAGAAAGTGTCAGAATTGAAGGGCCACAAACATCACTGCTCACTTTTGAAAACTTTAAAAAAGTAAATGTTTGTGGTCTCAATTCTTGAAACCAAAGACTCAGATTCTGACAAACGTAGGATCAACTTCATCTTTCATACCAAAGAGTGATAACTAGTACATGGGAGAAATTTCTTAAATGGGATATTTATCCAGCAAACCACTTAATCCTCAGTTTAAAACTGAACATATACTTGACTGCTTTGTTGAATTAGGAACTTTAAACTTTGGATCCATTAGCCCTATGTGAAGAGTATTGTATCATACCTCTTCTAGATGAAAAAGCCACTATTCACTTTCCTGAACCAAAATCTTTTTTTTCCTCTGCTGTCATTCAAAATCCTGTGCATAGATTATCTGCAGTTCATAAACCTTAGAGATCATTTTTTACAATGATGCTGACATTCAGTTTTCAACCCTGGACTTTGGGAGACTGCTCAGATAATCAACATAATCTTAAAAGCAATGACCCATGATCCAACACAAGAATTGGTCTGAGCACCTTGCATACAAAAATGTGAAACAAAAGACACAAATATCTTCTAAGCTGTTAACCCAGGAAGATATAATTGTACTACACTGTTCAGCATTATTACCATATTGGTAGCAATGCAGTAAAGCTACACTATTACACTATATCTATAAGTTACATATTTATATAAAGCTACAATATTACACTATTACATTTTCTTGCTTAAGTGACCCATGTGGTTCTGACTCCTTTAGGAATTTTTACTCAGACACTTCTAAAGCTTCCAGCATATGAAGCTGCATGGCAGTTTCCCATTAACCCCTGCCTGGACCAACACACCAGCCAAAATACCCAGGAGTTCAGGGAGTTGCAAGATAACAATCACAAAAACTACGACATCGTCCTCTTTGAGGGTAGTGCATGCACAGGCACAAATGATAAACAGAAGTCCAGCCACCAGGACACACAGGCTCAGCCTCGTTATTTTAGTACAGCTGTAGGGTGTCACATCAACCCTACTGTGATGCTTTAACAGGTCTGTGATACACAGGAGAGATTCACTGACATGAGCATGTCCAACGCCGTTCTCCAGCTCCATCAAGGAGCTGAGCATATTCTGACCAAGTCCCATGAGCCTCCCTTACCTGACCTCCCTTCCTGAGGCCTGGCCACCCTCTCCAAGGCCATCCCCAGGCACAGGCACCAGCATACACCACACCAGGGAGCTGGCTGTCTCTTCTGCTGCCATAACATGCACCCAACATGCACCGCAAGTAGCTAATGCTCTTGCTAAAGAGAGAGGCCAGGCAGATTTTCTAACAAGCATCAATCTCATTATACCAGTAGCTGAACAGTGGCGATTTACCAGGTGAAAAATGTAAGACGTACTCTCTTGGAACAAAGAATATAGGCCTCTGGCACAAATTGACATGAAAATGTTGTTTGTAGTACAAACCTTTCCCAAAATAAAGCTTTGCAATGTTTCCAGAGAATGGAAGCATAAATATTTTATGGAAAGATTATTTATGCTGTTATTCATACTGTCAAGAAACTCAGGAGGTTTCACTTAGGAAACAGGATCCCACTGTGCTACTTAACAAACTCACTTAGAGGTTGTCATTCAGAAAACAGATACTGTGTCATATAATAATTTCAACAGACAGCTACTAATCCTTGGTTGTAAGATTCTCTGAACAGAACTAAATGCATAAAGGGATTAAAAGAAATTCCTAAACACACAGCACGTTGTATATAGCTAATGCAAAGAGGAGAGAAACTCAACGTTACTACTGAAGTTTGCTCAATAGCATATCTTAAGCAAATTGTAGTACAAAGTAGAAGGAAACAAAGAGAAAAATACAAGGTTTAAACAACTACTTCCATTTTTATATTATGGGTCGATTTGCAAAAATGGCAGGGTCTATTCTGTTTTTTAAACAGTATCTCTACAGTTTCTGATAGAGTGGTCACAGTGATAGACTGCATTCAAAATGCAGCCTGCCAAAATTGCCTTCCAGAATGTAATTCTGGCATATACTATGAAATACAGACCCAACCTATTTATCTTCATGAAAGCATTAAAAAAGAAAGAGAATGGACAGAGGAGAGCATGAACTAAATACATCCCATTTATCATGCTTGCCACTCTCAGGATCGGTACCACTAAGACACTTCCAAGGGGATTTACATTTTGCTTTTTATTTCAGACATTTGCTTAGGGTTTGGGGGGAGTAAATCAAAAAGCCAACAAACAAAAAGCCCTCAACAAAACAACAACAAAAAAATGAGCACGACAGAAAGAACTGTGCAAATCATTGTGCTGGCACAAGATGTTTCACTAAGACAAAGTTTACAAGTGTGAATTTTGGTTTGTTCACACCTGAAGTGTAGAGGAGCTGAAGGCCAATTCTACCCTGAGCACACCTTTGGATGAAAACTGCTGCTATTCACTGCACAACTAAGACAAATGGACTTTTCAGGGCTCTGCATACCCCTGAAAGACCATGAACTGCTTCTGTAGCTTAATAAGCACAAAATATTTTCCATAAAAACAAGTCTGCTGTAGGACTATGTTAGCTTTAAAACAAGAGCTGTGAATTTCTACAAGAGCATTTTAGGCAATCACAAATTGAGAGATAATGAAAATGATTGTGCTGAAGTCTAAGAAAATTTAAATCTAAGCCACAAAATTACCTTGTGTTAATTAATACTCACCTTAATCCTCAAGTACCCTACATGAACTAAATAATTAACTCAAAGGTCTTCATATTAAAATTTGCATTTTAAAGGCAGACATACAACACAAAAGCTCAGTTTGAAGTGAGAACATAAATGCCCAACAACTTTAGCTAACTCTCCATTCAAGCTGTCTCAATTTTTACCATTGCTTCAGATCTTAATATACTAAATACCCTTTCAAAAGCATCAACTCAATGTGTGATTACATGATATTCCCAGCTTCCATTAAAAGCAGAAGACTAAATTTTTAAAGGTGCCAAGAGGTGAAAGTCTGATTTGCATGAGCACCAGGTACTTAATTTTCAAAAACAATAGATTTTTTTTTGAAGTCTTATTCTACAGGGAGGTGTACTAGAACTAGAAATTCCCAGTGATTTAAAGTTGCTAATGTGTTCCAAAATAAGTTTATGAGAACAGAAGACTAAAGAAAACAAAGACAAGCAACTTCACTAAAATATAAGCAAGAAGGCTAAAGTACAGTATTTATGTTCAGGAACATAAAGCAGATTGTAGGCACTCCAGCTCTCTTTCTAATGGCTCAGAATTAGCGCTTCTGTATACCTAATTTGAAACTTAATGCCCAGGTCAGAAGTCTGTCTCTGACCAAGAATGTTGAGTGCTAGTCTGAAAGATTTGTAAATTCCTTCATATGCATTCTCCAAAAATCAGGTTTCTTAAAGAGATAGCATATTAGGACATATGCCTTTGAAGGTATCTAAAATTACTGGTTCCCTGAAAATAGATTTTCTATGCTTGTCTTCACATGCCATCTACTCATCTTAAAGTTATTTAAAGTTATTTAAGATATTAAGTTATTAGCTATGTCTTTGTATTTTAGATTGTCACAATTGTTATAGCCACAACTGATATGATGCACTGTCATCTTCAGTATTTCATTGTAAGATGTTGGTCAGGCACATTTCCAGAGAAAAGGCACATGTCAAAAGATTTTAAATTGCCTTTAAGGACAACTGTCAAGAATAAGAATGAAAACAGTGTGCTTGTTTCTCTACAGGTGAAGGAAGTTCCCCTTATGATTCCACTGAAATCTAGACCATGATGAGTACTGGGGTGTTCTGGTTTCTTTATTATAGAAAAAAAGAATAAATACTGTCACCATTAATGACTAAGATTTTTTTTTTTTTTAATCCAAACCCAATAAAGAATCAGGAATTCCAAGCATTCCCTTTTTTGTTGAACATGGTATGCCTCTTCTTTCTTTAAATGTAAGAAAATTTTATTGAGGAAAAAATATTAGTCTTTATTTTAAAGAACTGACTTGCAAATGTTAAAGAAATAACAAAATTAGAAGAGGAAAACCCAACTAAAAATACTTTGTAGATGTGTGAAGATGATAAGTACACCACAAAACACACATCTGGCATTTTCTGTGGTCAGTTCACCATATAGGAGCATAAAGCCCTATTTACAGCCTTTAATTCTAGACTTCAGTTGCATCATGCTGTACCCTAGCTAAATGCCGTTGAATAACGTGGTATTTCTGTTTTGTCTTTGTAAATCAAAGAAAAGAAAATTGAATGCTGCTAACAAGCAGTGATGATAAAAGCTTTATGTGATTTCCTTGGAAAGGAAATTGTGTGTACATCGTGGAGGTACTACTCCTGTGTAGTCCATGGCTAAATAACTCAGAAACAAAGACTCACAGACTACTTAAATTTGGAAAGGACCTCTGGAGATCATCTAGTCCAACCCTTCTGCTCAGAGCAAAGTCAAATAGATCAGATTGCCCAGGGCCATGTCCATTCAAATTCTGATTATATCCAAGGACATACACTTTACAATCTCTCTGTGAAACCTATTCCAGTATTTTAACACCATCACAGTGAAAAAGCTTTCTGTTTGGGTGGAATTTTTTGTATTCCAGTTTGTGCCCACTGCTTCTATTCTTGTCAATTAAAAGAGTTAAATTTCCATTTCTTTATTTCCCACATCAAACACTCTCCACTTCCCCCAATCAGGTATTTAAATACATTGAAGAGATTCTCGCTGAGCCTTCCCTTTTCTCTAGGCTAGGCAATGTCAGCTTTCTCAGCCTCTCCTCACATGATGGATGTCCCAATTTTTTTATCATCTCCATGGCCCTTCACTGGACTTACTTCAGTACATTCATGTGTCACTTGTACTGGGGAGCCCAGAACAGGACACAGCACTCCAGAAATGGCCTCACCAAAATACTGAATTGAAGTGCATGAGATAATCACTTTCCAGGTGCAGGACTTTGCATTTCCCTTTGTTGAACTCCATGAGGTTATGTTGGCCCATTTCTCCATCCTGTCAAGATCCTCTGAAAACAACAGGACCATCTCATGTATCAACTGTTACTCTAAATTTAGGGTGCACTCTTTCTTTTTGTCTGTCAGTCGTGAAGATGGTAAATAGTACTGGGGGACAGCACTAGTGACTGGGTTCCAGCTGGGTTTCAAGCCTCTGATTGCAATCCTTTTGGCCCAGCAATTCAGGCACTTCCAATGCTCCTCACTGTCTACTTATTTAGTCCTCACTTGCTCCATTTGTCTGGGAGGATGCTATGTGAGACTGTTAAAAGCTTTGTTAAAGCCAAAATAAACAATATTCATCACTCGGAATGTCTCAGATTTCCATAATCTTTCAAAGATTAATAAGAGTGGCCTCACAATGACATGGGTCAGTTTCCCCAGGACTTTGTAAGTGCATCCCCATCAGACACCATGCATGTGTGCACATCCCATTTGTTGAAATATTTGCTAACCTGATCCTCCTCTACCAATGGTAAGTCTTCACTGCTCCAGGCTTTCCCATAGGTCTCAGGGACCTGGAATTCTTGAGGGAAAATCTTACCTGTAAACTGAGGTGAAAATGTTGTGTAGCAGCTTTTTCCATGTAGTAGTGAGCCCTGTTTTCCTTCATCTGCCTTTTGCTGCTGAGATACCTGTAGAAAACCTTTCTATTTCCCTTTGTGTCCCTTGGCAGATTCAACTCCAGATGGGCATTGGCTTTCCTGACCCCATTCCTGCACACTTGGACAGATCTCAATCGTCTACCTGGGTCACTTGATCCTACTTTCACCTCTCAGTGTATTAGTTCCTGATATAATTTGAACAAAACACCTTTCAAATTATGACAAACAGATTTCCTTTAGAGAGTTATCCACATCCTCTTTCAAAGCTGAGCTGCTGTGCAGGCAAGACTCCCAGAGGCAAGTGAAGATGCAGCAGACTAGGATGAGCCTAAGTGGACCCAAGGAGTAAGTGCTTGACTGGCAAGGGGGAGCACTGGGCTCCTATAGCACCAAATTCAAGCACACTACATGATCTGAAGAGAAATTCAGAGGTAGAATGGGAAGAGAGGAGCTGGTAAGTCCTGTAGAGTGACACGAAAATCAGATATTGCACTGTAAGGATGAAATGAAAAATCTCACATGTTACCAGAACTGACACTGAATTTCAGTTTCATTAGAAAATGTTACTACTCCCAGAGGCCTATTAGCTGACAGAGTAACAGGGTTGGAAAGCTTTAAAGAAGCCCAAAATATTTTGATAGAGAGACAAAATAATAATCTATGGCATCAGAATGAACTAAATGATACTAAAATGGGAGGATCAACAAAAAGGACAGAAAAAAACCACTTAAACTGCCTGGTTAGCAAGCAGCAAAAAAAGAAAACTGGGTATGTTTTTAAATGAAGGAGTGTAAGTCAATTCTCAGTCACTATAGATAAGACATAATTCCATTAAGATTGCTCAGTTAACAGTTTCGTTGCACAAGGCAAGTTCCCTGCTTGAAATTGATGCTGAAGGCTGTTCCTCACCGAGAGGAAAACACAACTTAACTGAACTTTTATCTATGCAAGGGTTTCAGGCTTAGACCCAGTATGGAAGACCTAATTTTTTTTTTTTTTTAAGCAACTATGTTCAGTTTTCTAATCGGAAGTTTCTATTTTTGCGTTCTAACTTTTACAGTACTGTTCCACCCTGCTACAATGAACACTTACCTTCTTTAACTCTTCCTGAATACTTCTGTCATTTTCTTCTGAGGACAAACTCTCCTTCTGGTTTTCAGGATCCATTCCAGGTTCTGACTCTTGTTCTTCACCAGAAGATGTTTCCTTGTCACTCATTTTAGCAGCAAGCTGAAATAACCTGGATTTAAGTTCCTCCTCCATAAGGTCAGGCTTGATATTTTGGTGCTGATCTTCATTGCTTATATCTGCCTCTGATAAATCATCAAAATCCTACAAAGAAATTAGAAGAACCATATAATTCCTGCATAGGCACAGAAAGAAAAACAGCTTCCTAGAAAATTATAGATATGATCACCTTGCAGGGAAGCTAGAAAGAAAGCACATTAAGTGTTCTGATAAAAAAAGGAATGACAGTAATACTTGTTGGATTATACTTATCATTCCGGCTTATTTTCATATTCCCTAAAAAGGAACTGTGAAAATCATTATGTATCTGTGTGCAACTAATAAAATACATCTAAGAGGCACTTTCCGTTCCCAGCACTGCCATCGCTCTCAGGTGTGGTGCAGGTTAAGTGAGTTGTGGGAATTAAATAACCTGTGACCTCACAGTTATGTTCAGCTTTTCGCTGAAAGCTGCGCTCACATGCCCTGACTGCTTGGTCTTGAGCTTTATCTGTGTTCTTCTTAAAGATGACTGGAAACAAGTTTGGAAAAATCTCTCTTTTATTTCATGACGGTGCTTAAGATTGTCAGTTTTCCCAGTGATTATTAGCATAGGTGGATCCTCTACAGAGACAACTGTTTTCCAAATGCCAACTTCCTTGGAACAAGTTCAATCTTCAGGAGCACCTTCTTTTCTGACTCTTGGATCCTTAAAGGTGGAAAACACTTAGAGGGTCAGTCAAGTACAGTGGGTGCTACAGACTTGATCACAAGTCCCTTACTTTGGAGGCTGAAGAGAAGAAAAGCAGAATTTTTTGTAAATCTGCTTAGCAGGGTGCCTGCCCTGCATTTAATAATGTGGAAAGGGGGGTGGTTCATCAGCCCTTGCAGAAGATCTGAGAATATCTCTGAGTTGTTCTAAAAACTAATGCCCAGGTACACACCAATTCATTTCCTGGATCTGTGCTGGCTGATCAGGACCCAATTTTGCCTGATTTCCACTACAGTCCCTGGAGAAAGACAGGCATCTCCCAGAGCAACTTATTCTGCCTGTAGTGTTTAACTGCCTTCTGGAAACTCTCTCCCTGCTGACTGCTAAGGGAAAGTTTTGAACCATTAGAGAGTTTGTTCAGTGTTTCAGCCAAGTCCATAAAGTAAGATGGAATTAGGTGGTTTTAAAAGTGATGAATTCTTTGAAATGGAGCATAATCGTGTAGAACCATCCAGAAGGAGGCTATGAAGAATTCAGCCTGGCACCAGAGTGGTAGGCACATCTCAGCAGGTCTAAAGGGATGATCTGAAGCAATTCTCAGAGAGCAAATTATTCATATTTGCTTTACGTTCTCATACTGTGACAGGACCAGACACTGCCGGAGAGACTAAAAGCTGTATTCTCTCTACCATTCATTTGGAAATACATAAATAGGAGATTTCCTTTGCACAGCTACTCTCTCTGCAGCTATAGCAGCACTGTTTATGGATGATCCAATTACCTCCAGTTCCCAGGGGAAATGTTAACCCTGCCAACTCCCTCACAACCCCTACCTGCCAAAGTGCTTTTAATGGATTGACACTTTGTGTTCATAATGTCAGTTCTCCTCTCTCATACAGCAAACTGTACTGTAGTGTCTAGCACTTTCACAGCTTTCTGGACAACTTTTTTTTTTTCCTGGAATTATTTGCCATTCAATCTATTACACAACTAAATTATTGGTTTATAGCTGACCTTCAGGAGGCAGAAGGCCCTTCTAGAAAATCAAGATTTGAAAGAAAAATAGAAATTTGAAAACTACAATAGTAGGGGAACCGTGAGTTTATGCTGAAATTCTTTTTCCAAACAATGAGCTTCTGCAGAATAAAAAGCTTTTTCTGCCAAACGAACGCTGAAGCTGTTCAATGATCAAGAATAAGATCTCAAATCAGTATGTTTCCACTTTAGTTTTATAATATGATGTGCTTTTATATACATGTAGAAAAGTGGTGCATTTCACAGTTTTCATTAAAAATCTGTATTTATCATAACGGCACTTCCTCAGGTTGTAAGTAGAGATGGTTTTTTTCAGACACATCTTGCACACTATTCAACAACTCATTACAACTTACAAATATGTGTATAAAATCTAGTGGAGTAGTGAGGGAAGCTGGCAGTCCAGAGAGGCAGATTTTCCCACATTTCCTCCTCACTGCTGTACCGTGACGTACTGACAGACTTCACTGTGCAGCGAGATAGGCATGATTCCTCTGGGGGCTTCCTACATAGATCTGCTTAGATTTAATTTTTTAGCAGCTTTATTGGAGTAGCAATGCACACATACCTCCATGGGAAGCGCCACTAGTTAATTTAAAGAATCCACATTAAGAACAGCAGAAAGACAACACCTCTTGACCCTGAAAATATCCCCGTCTTCGTAGGATAACACGTGGCAGCACCTTTTGGGTTGATCTCTACTGCCTCTATACAAAGCTCAGCAAAATTCCGTAAAGCCTTCCGGCTCATTTCCCATACACTTTGGAGGAAGGCATGGCAGGACAATACTGTCAAATTGCCCAGATTCAGCAGGATAAAAAATTGAGGTAGTTTTCTGTAACAAGCTAGTGCTGCTGAAAGAGTCATCCTGCAGCTTCCTCCTCTTTAATTGGTTGAAAGGTGTTCTGCAGGCTTGGCAAAGGGGTCCAAATGTATGCTAAAGGTGACAAGGGAGAGAGTGGACCGCACTGGAGGCAGATGGAGGGGAGGCAGGAAGGAAAACAGGGTGGAGGTATTCCTCTTTTGGCAACAGCAATCTGCAATGTTACCTTAGCCACGCGTCACACCATTACAGAAACAATGCAAATACTAACCTGTGCTTCAACACAAATACAATTTTTTCCTGCCTGTCTAGGAAACCTAGAGAGCTTTTTGCTACACCTGCCAACACAGGTAAGAGTCACGAGTTGCCTTGGCAACCCAGAAGTCTCATTCAACATCAGCTAAATTTGTGTTTTGAATTACACATAATTTCTTGGAGGAAGACTCACCTTGAGAGTATTGATTGTATTACAGCTGAATTCAGGAATGTCTATTAGCCCTTTCCTTGCTTTCCAACCTCCTTACAATGAGCAGGTGGATTATCTACGTTTACAAGAGCTGCTAGTTCCTGTGCACATGCAGAGATAATGATATCTTATAGTGCTACACTTCGTGGTTTCTGTTACTGTAGCATAGCTGATTTGTGTTTTGGGCTTTTCACATAGTAGCAGTGAGCTATTCCTGAGGAGATTATATATCTTTCATGGACTGACAAATTAAAAAATGCATTAGAAGCCATGACAACAATAAAAAATAAATAAATTGAAAGGTACTACCATTATTATTTATTTAATAGCTGCTGCCTTAAACTTCATTATTCTTTACTGTTCACATTTTCACTCTTTCTGGTAAGTTTAATGACATCTTTGTGTTATTACACAAATCATTGTGTAAATTCCCACTTGCATTTATCAGCAACATATAATACTAATGTCTGCAAACAAGAATAAAGGGCTATCATTTTATCTGAAAACTGAGCTTTAGTGAGGGCCTGGCAGACTGACACAGCCACGATCCCAGTCCCAATAAAAGAAAATCAAGTGTTTCTATGCAAGCATAAGTCCTTTAGCAGACAATGAAGAACCAAATACACTTTTCCTCATATACACTGTCCAAATCCTTGTATGGAAATCGCTCATGACTCAATGTAATCATTGTGAAAAACAACAACAACAACAAAGCCCCAAAATAAAGCAAGCCAGCAAAGTACTGCCTTGGAGGCTCCAGAACCAAATCCTGTTAAACTATAAACTCCTGACAGAAAGCCCCCTTCCTACAGGAAACCAAAAAACAGAAATTACAATTTTTAGGAGAATACACAAATGGTGAGGTTTGCAGACAGTTTCTCTGTGGCAAGAGCCACTGTGATTTCAGGGCAGCTATTTTCAATAAACACATCCCAAGCGCCATCCCGTGGGGACCGGCAGTCTGACAGTGCTCACCCCTCAGCTGGCAGCAGGGCTGGAATTAACAGGTGGGGTCTCCTGATCAAAGAAGTAAACTAATAATGAGGACACTTCTTTCATTTCAAGCAATTAAGCCACTTCACTTTCTGTCAGAAATATAAAAACAGCAGCAACATTAAGCAACATATCCTCCTCTCAAAAAGATAATGAAAGCCAATATCTCAATGTTTTTATTATTCATATTGTCAACTATTAATATAACTATTAAGATTAAAGGCAGACAAGGATTAGTGGCTTGAGTGCAAATTTCTTTTAAAAAGTTACAATTTGAAAAATAATCCTTATTAAAAGCAAGGTTGCACTTCCCAGTACAGCTTCCACAGAAACCTAAGTCTTCTGTGGTACATAAGTAATAAGATTATTAGAAAATTATTATAGTAGGGCCTTGGTTTTATCAGGACAGTTTTCATGTCTTGCTTCATGACTGTGTTTACAGCATCTCTACACATAACCCAGTAAAGTAGCTTGTTCTTCTACCTATTATTAAGGGGCAAATACTCAGATACAGTACGTTTTGGTATTTTTTCTCAGGTTTCCCTTATTAAGTCACTGAAGACTTTATAAAAAATTCTCTCTCAGTCACATAGTCAGCATTCCCGTGTTGAGTCTAAAATATATTTTAAAAACATGCCACAGCCTTATATAATCTAGGTACTGGATCTTGATTAGAAAATATCTGATTTTAAACTGAAATTCTGTTGTGAGTTATGAACTGACTGCAGCTGTTCCAGAACCTAACTACATACAATCCTCTAGACTTGGAGCAAAGAGGAGAAAGGGCCCATTTTCATTGCACTGAGAGTCTTGGAGAGCAGCAAACAAGAAAGCAACCTTCACAATTTGAAAACTAAAAAAGAAACCCCAACTTCTAGACTGCTAAACTGAAATCCTGCTCTACAATGCTGATGAAAACGTAACAGTTAAGGAATTATCATCTTATTAATACAATGCAGTAAAATACTATTAAAATATTATTAAATTATTATTCATATTACCAATATATTAAATTATTAATATTATTAAAAGGTTATTATTGCAATGCAGTAAGTTACTGAAAAAGTATCTTACTTCACCTCAATTTACATATAATCAGTTGCTCAGTGTCTAATATTTAGGTGCAACATGGTTTGTAAGAGTTTGTATGGTCTCTGCAAATTCTGTATCACCTTATCATGTGAAAATCTGCGTCTGGTTTAAGACACCACAGTGAATCTTCTTGAAGTCTATGCTGTCTGCAGTTCTTCATGCAGCTGCACTACAATTTTGTACAAACTGTTCACATGTAGGGCTCCCCCTGCTGCAGCCTCAATCATTTTACCAAGATCAATACATTACTTTGGGGAATATATGAAACCCTGACATCCCTTTAATTTCATTTTTCTAAGCAGTATAAATGATGTCTGGCTAATTCATTTTCACACCTTAAATCATATTTCTTACACTCATGATCATTTTAATTGCTTCCTAGAATTATTCAACCGTGCAGCATCCTTGCCATAAATTGTGGTAGTCAGTCCTGCTCCCAGCAGTGCTTGTGTACCAGAGGCTGGAGTAACAGTTCTACAAATGTGAGCACTGGTTGTCAAATCAGCCACCTGCAGGGGTGTGTGACCCCCCAAACACAAACTAAATGCATGCAAACCCACCCATACATAAACTTCCAAGAAAACACTAGAGAGATCTGGAGGCACTGCCCCTGCTTGCCCCACTGTGGCTAAGGGAACAGGAACAGCCTCTTTTAGCCCAAAGGGTAAAATGAAGGAGAGAGCTCCCAATCTTGCATTTTGAACACAACAGAGAGCTTATAAGAGGCAAAGCAACGCAAAAAAGAAGAATCATTTTCTGCACCAGCTTGTACTTTGAGGGACACACTAAGCTGCTGAAGGATGCCATCATGTATGTCTGGAAGCACCCTGCCTTTCTGACCTCCCCCATATGAATGTGGGGCAGGTTTAGATTGGACATTAGGAAAAATTTCTTCACAGAAAGGATTATTCAGCACTGGAACAGGCTGCCCAGGGAAGCGGTTAATTCACCATCCCTGGAAGTATTTAAAAGATGTGTAGTTGTGGCATGGTCTAGTGGTGGACCCTGCAGTGCTGGTTAACAGCTGAACTTGATGATCTTAAGTTTTTCCAACCTAAATGATTCTATGATTCTCTAATGTCTCCAGGACCTTCTCTGTGAGCTCAAATCCTCTATGCTCTGCAGAACAGTAGTACCTGAAAAGCCACAATATGAATACAGACACACACAGAATGTGCATAAATACACAAAACCAGAAAGGGAAATGTAGAAGTCTGCATAAAAGATATGGTCTTTGTGCAGTCCCTGGCAAGTTTTATAATTCTGCCTAATGTTCTAAGAAGTCATTAATGGCCACTGATGTGTTGTCAGAGCACATTATCATACATAACTCCCCTTCAACAACTGTTGATTGTAAATACATGAGCGCATGAGTATAAATAAATCAGTATCCCAAACACCCGCATCTCTGTCCTAAAAGCAGATGGAACAGCTACAGAATTAACAATCGTTTACCCAGCTGTAAAGCCCTGCTGAAATCCTAGAATCCTAATCTTGATTTACGATCAGCTGTACTGATGTCTTTCTATAGGAAATACAGGCTAGTAGCATAAGCAAAGAAAAACTATTCCAAGCATCCTAAATTTGTTCAGATAGCTTTAAGCCTGAATCAAGTTGCTTGTTGTCAAAGGCATAGAGAGAAGACAGCCCTCAGCTTCTTGATTCAGGCTTACCATTACTCTGCTGCAGTAATGACGCAGCTGCAGGATTTAAGAGAGGTAGGACATGGGAAATGGGACTGGACAAGGGGTCAATATTCTCCTCATCTAGTGTGCTTTTACTCCTAAAAAAATTCTGGGGGACAACAACATCCCTTACTTAGTATCAATCCCAGGCTTGGACAAACTCAAAACAGAGAAGACTTTTTGGCTTTCTGGTTATCTAACCCTTGTTTAAAAGAAAGTATTGACAAGAGTTTGAGAAGTACTTTGCTGTCTTCAAGTTGTATGATCAGTTTTTCCCAGTTTGAGCTATTACTTTCTGGGGTTTTTTGCTTGTTTGTTTGGGCTTTGTTTGTTTTGTTGATCAACTGACAAACTAAAATTTTTCCATCTGACAAATTTGACAAAATAAAATTGACAATTTAAATTGAGGTAGTTTGCAAACACTCACCCTAACACATCAGAACTCATCATAAGGTGACCAACTAAAAGCAGACATCATTTGGACTGTATTTTACAAAAAGCCCTTTCTGAATTTCTGCTTCTCATTAGCTTTATCCCTTATCAGGACTTTTGCAAAAGCTGCACAGCAGATTCCCAGGCATATGTGTTATTTCTTATTCCAAGAACAAAGGAGTTAAAAAACCCCCAAACAAACAGCACAAAAAAACGGTGATTAATTAACATTTTTTAGCTGTTGACAAATCCTGACTTTTTTTTTTTTTTTTTTTAGGAACACTGTATTTTACAGCATTAACAATGTCTTTGATCAGATGAAAGTGGCACATTTGAGAAAGCGGCAAAGCCTGCTCATGTAACACTTCACCTTTGCTTCTTCTCATTTAGGAAGCATGAGGAAGATAAAGCTTACAAGACTCTCCAACTCCCATTCAAGATTCACATGTTATTGCCAACATAGTTTAATTAGTTTAGTTCTTTTTGAGAGTGCATTTGCTAAGCTCAGATACAATTACCTGACTTAAATTCATCTTGCTCATTTTTGTCTGATTCTTGTCTTCACATAATTCTTCTGAGGTTGCTTTGTTCTTCCTCCACCTTCTTGATCTCTTTTCTAAATCATAATGGACCTCTTCAGTCTCACTGCTGTCCGAATACTCTAAGCTAGTTGCCTGTGGATTAAAATTTACATCCAGTTCTCCATGGAAGTGTTTCTTTTCCATTCTGGGCATATCACTTTGAGTTCTGCTTTGCAACCAGAGAAGTTTGCTAGGTCCTTTAGCTTCCTGGGAAGAGTTTACTGAAGATGTTTCTGAATCAGAGAACTGTGTCTCAGTATTGGTGTATAACCCAGAGGAGGGGGAGGTCACTGCCTGGTACTGATCACTGCCATAAACCCATTCGGTACCATACTGGGAATTAGTATAATAGAAATCGTCTGGTAATTGTCGAGGTCTCCTACGCAGCTTGTTCAAGGCCACATTCCAGTCGTAGTCATCCTCACTGTCTGAGCCCATCTCGTCATAGGCAGACACAACATTGGATTCATTCTCCAAAGCTCTGAATACCTGACTCTTTGGTTTGGCAAGCATTCGAGGACGAGGCAAAGTGACATTCTGCAAGGCCACCCAGTTTCCATCAGTGCTTTGCAAGACAGAAGGTGGACCTACAAAAATGAAACAAGAACAATCGTGATCACAGTGTGAAAGGCTCATTTTACATGGACACAAGTTGGAGAGTTCAACAAAACTAACAAACAAATGCAAGTATTGCTGCTACATGAACTCTTCCACGCTGAGAGCCGTGCTGCCATAGTACTCAGAAGCCACCACTTAAAGTTGTGGCGATGACTATTTAAAATGTGAGAGTACTTGGACCAAAGCTTTTTTTTTCTAAAAGAATCATTAGGTAAGGTTAATGGAACACCAGTACACAGACATGTATAAATCCTGAGTTTCGCAGATGTCTTTGATTCTGTGTGCAGTTCTGGTACCCCGTGTTGAAAATGAAAGATGGAAAAAGGATGAAAGAAAAGCAACAAAGGTTGCACCAGATTCTGAAACGTTGTCCATTCAAGGAATGATTAAGTAAACCAGAGCTCTGCCATCTAGAGGAGAGAAGAGTGAGAGGATACAGGCTAAAAGAGATGGCAGACTCTCTTCCAACCTAACTATTAGAGGACATGAAGAGAAGCTAGAGAAATCAAGGATCTAAACCAACAAAAGAGAGAAGTGGGATGCAATGGATACCAGACCTATGGAGCTTCTTGCCTAACCTGTTATGGATGCTAGAAATTATCTGGGATAAAACAGAGATGGCTAGGGATATGGAAGAGAAATCCACTGACATTAACTAAATATAGAAAAAAACTTCTAGATAAGTTGAAAGTTCTAGAGGTTCGGAGCCTACTCAGAGGCAGCATGAAAAATATGTGCTTTGTCCTAATCTTTCCTAGACTCTTGCTTATGGCTACTATGGCTGCTGTTGTTGTACCTCAGACTGAATACTAAATAGCTTTCTGTCTGACACAAGCACTGCTGCTCTTGTATTCTCACACTTTTTCAGAGTATGTTTTACCACTTCAGCAGAAAAAAAAGAGTCACAAATATGGTGAAAAAGTGCTGTATGTAATAGAAGGGTTAACTTTGTTCATAAAATCTTATGTGTATGAGGGAGTCAGAAACTTTTTGTTGTAATTAAACAAGATAAGTTTCACAGACAGCTTGCCAATCAAGCAAGTGTCAATAAACAACTGATAAGAACTGCATCTTTCATCTCTAACAAGTACCAGACGACCACTTAACAGCCACGAACTCAAGCCACAAACAAATTTACATCCAAAAACCCGGGACTTGAGAATATATAAAAGGAGCATTTACTACATTTCAGGGTGTGCCTCGGCAGGGCGCTTGCCCTCCAGGCCACCCAGCACTGTTTTGCTTTATTATCGCTTGCTTAATAAATTTATCAATGTTTAATTGGAATTGAGTTGTCTAAATTCTTATACTAACTTATAACACTGTATAACGCATATAACTCAGAGAATCTAATTTTTTTCTAAATTTAGATTCCATTTTTAATCAAACTTGAAAATACCCCTCTTGGGAAATACGAATGTGTGATGACTCTATGTTCTGCAGCAGTTTAATAAATATATAATGCCACGGATTTACACAGTAATCTCAGCCTACTGAATGAACTTTTCAGACTTATGGATTCCTCCCAAGGGTTTAAATTTACCATTTCCAGAAAATTATAGAAACTCTTAATATAAATATTAGTTTTCTCAAACTGTGAACAGAATGTCATTATTTTAAAATGGACAAAGTAACATCTGGATCTGTTGTAGATGATAATCAAGAATTTTGCATTAGATGATGACAAATACTTGGATGATAAGACTATTTCTTCCCTCCTGTTGTTCATAAAGAACACCACAATGCAGTAAGAACGTGTGTTTAAGTAAAAAAAAAAAACAGTCTGAGCTGCACTGCCACCACCAAAACACTCCCACAAAAATAAAACAAAAATTAAATTGTAATTAAACTTGGGAGCTATGCAAGATACAGAACAATTTTTGCATTTTTTTACTCATTTGAATCCTTTTGGCTTGTTTTCACTTCATGAGTTTCATGGCAATTCAGAAAACTTGAGAAAATACATCATTGAAGTAATTTTTACTCCTGCCTAAAAGGAAATTAAGTAATACCAGTTTTCTTCTGGCAGTGAGCAGCTGAGGATATAACTAAAGCCAGGTTTGTAGGGAAAACTAATATCTGTTCATTGTAACCCCTGATTTTGGAGAAAAAGAAAGAATCCAAGCTATCGAGCATAAAAAACTTCTGCTTATTCACTCTTTCCAACTGTGTTCACTAATCTGAGAATAGAATTATCTCGAGAGAAAAAAGACCTTTCCTGAAAAACATTGTTCCTTCAAACAAAATATAAATCTCCAATAGGAACTGAATTCAGCTGGACATGACAAAAACGTAAGGGAGTACCACATACTTTTTTTCTCCCCCAAACCATATCCCCTTATTTTGTTTTATAACAACACAGGAGAATCAGTCAAAAAACCTCGGTTAACTGAAGAAAGGACAGGGTAGTAGTTGATTATATCTTACAGGGCAAACAGAAAGCCACTGAGAACTCTATATTCAGAAAACTGACTCAGTTTTATCGCAGCTTCAAGCAATGTCAAGTGCTCCCTTACTCATTTTTCGAAACAAAGCCACTTGCTTGAAAGAATCATTTTTGCACACAATTCTTTGGGAATAAACTATAATTTTCATGTGAAAATGAAAAAATATTTAAGAAGTTTCATTGTAAAACTACTGATAAAAGGGAAAATCCCCCACAAAGTCACGATTTGGTTCTTGAGTCATCACTTAAAACAATACAAACTGTAATCAAAATGAACTGCTTTTTGGCTACATGACCAGAAAGACCATTGATGTTACCACTCCAGACTCTTGGTTGAGATTTCTTTGGTTTTCTGAATCCTAATACAGAGCTGCTTATTACTGCATAGGTGAGACCATATTTACAAATATTAGCACAGTCAGCTATTTTCTGTAAGCTCAACAGGTACCACAATTTCATCACAAATGTGATTTTTAGATGAAAGAAGCAGAACAAATCCTTTGAGTAGAGCACCTGAAAGGAAACTGGGTCAATTTATCGTTCAGCTATGGTTAAGCAACTGTTAAGTACTAAATTGCTCAACAGTTGAATTCAATGGGATTGAAGTGGGTTCTTAAATTTAAGCACCAAATTAGCTGCTTTACTGAAAATAGGCCTTCCACTAAAATGCCCAGGAAAAGAACGTTTCTGACAGGGGGTTGAATGAGCAGTTCACAAAGGGATGCATACTTAGTTACGTCAGCTTTTAATACTACTTTACTAAAAATTTCCTTATGGGGGAAGGAAGGTATTGAAACTGTGTAAATTTCAGTCTCCCGAGTTATCTACTGGCATTAGAGATTGAATGGATGGGCAGCCCCCATCCCTGGTCTCCACTAAATCCGAATACATGTTTTGGCTGCTTCTGCTTGCCAGCACCTGATGAGCCAGCTGTGGGGGTCACAGCACCAGTAAACACTCTATAAAAGAGAAGTTTTCTGCCTGTGTAGCTTCATGAACCAATTGCCACAGGGGTCAGATAGGTTCTACAGCTCTTAGAAGAGAAGAAGCAGGAACAAGCAGACTGTGTCATGGGAGGACAACACCTGGAGCCAGGGAATGCTGCTACAGTGAGCAGTTCAGCTCTTCCCCTTGTGCAGTTGTAGGGTGAAAAGTAACCAACTCTTCTGTGCACTCGTTGCCTGGTGCTACCCTCCTGTCCTTATGTCATCTTGAAATAAGCAGGGAATTGCATTCTATCCCAGGGTGCTGCTTCAGGAGTGGGGCTGACTTGGAAAGCTGCTCATGATCCAACATCCATACCTAACACATGACGACAGAGGACAAACCTAGGGAAACTGCTGGTCTGTGAAGTTCTTATTCACACACCTTCCTCAAATTCATATGGAAGCACCAGATAGTAGGGCTGCACATTTGTGAACTCATCAGGGTTGAAAATAAAGCTGCAAGGGGGAATTCTAGATGTGAATTGTTTCAGTGCTTGGTTCACCATGTAACCTCATGAACAGTTACCCTATGCAAACAGAAGGGATACTATGGACAGCTGCAAACCCTTTCAACTGGAGGACAGATTACAAAGGATTCTTGGGCTCTTGTGTCTTAGAAGCTCTGAAATGTATCCAAACTAGTTGCCTAATTTTTGTGACAATCCAAAACCAACTCCACAAAAGCCCAAATTTTTAATCCTTTTTTCAGATTAAAAAAGGTAAGATAAGCAATGACACAGCCCAATGAAATAGTGACACAGCATCATCAAATACACATTTTGCACGTGACCTCTGAAAGCACAGACGTCAGCAGAAATGCCCTGGAGAAGGTCCTTGCTTTAAGTCGTATTTATTCTGCATGTGAGTGAGAACCAAAAAGGAATCTTATTCGTACTAGAAATATTTACTTGTTTCATTTAGCCTGTCCACACTCTTCCAGCTGGGTAATGAAGATAGCTTGCGTTCCTTCTGCTTCCTGGACTGCCCCTTTTGCTGCTTCTGAAGAGCCTCGGTCACAGATGATGCAGAGTCTTGTCCTTTACTGGTCGCATCTTCACTAGCCAGGGAGAATGCAGACTGAGACCTCTGTGGAATTAAAAATCAAAGAGTATAATTTAAAAATAGAAATACTTAATTATCCAACTCTTTATCGTAATCAGTATTCAGTTACCCAGGGAAGTGTGGGATCTGCCAGCATCACAAATGGAATTTAATGTATTCAAAAGAATTGATTCAGCATTAGATTGCTTATTTATGTGCATTTCTGATGCCATGCAAGGAGGCAGGAAATTCTTTACACTATCACAGGCCAAACGGAAAGAAATAATTAGGGTGAAGTTATTGGGAATGTACTTGGTGAGGACTGATATCTAACTGCTGTGACTCAAGTTAGTCAAAAGGGATCCCACTGTGGTGAGACGTGATGATGTACTGTTGGCTCAACAGGCCATCTGGTGTAACAATTTGCAGAAGTTAAAAATTAAAAAAAGCAAACAAACAGCCTGTTCCTCAGAAATAGATATGCAAGTCAGATGATTTAGAATTCTATTTGCTAGGACATACATATCACCCAATATGCTGAGCGGTTTTATTCAGTCTTACTAATGAAGTGGCTAAGAAGGCCAATGGCATCTTGGCCTGTATCACGAACAGTAGGGCCAGCAGGTCCAGGGAAGTGATTCTTTCCCTGTACTCAGTGCTGGTGAGGCCACACCTGGAGTGCTGTGTCCAGTTCTGGACACTGATTTCAGGAGAACTCACACTTGCATATCAAATCACATATGTAGTTCCAGAAACAAGGCTACAGAGCTCGAGTCAAGTTGCCTCTGCAGCAGAGTCAGTAGAAGACTGTATACGCCAGGGATTCATTAAGAGATATGTTTTCAAGTGGCTCAGCTGCTTTGCACAGGCCAAGTTGGCACTCTCAAATCTTTGTACATTTTTGCTGATGTTCAAATTACAAATAATTAACTAAAACTGTTACTCTCAAAAGGGCCAGTCTTCCCCTGTATCAGAGCTCTGCTTTGCACTGGTGCAGATGAGGTAAAGGGGAACTTGACTTTTAGCTATTTTCAAGTCCCTCCAATTCTCAGGACAGTATAAGCTTTGTTGGGAGTCCTGCTGGCTTGAAAGCCACAGTAACAACACTTTCTGGCTGCACTTCCTCCCACCTGAAATGCTCCTGTATGGGACCCATGTACCATGCCAGAAGATTTAATGAACTGCAAATCTTCCTGTATCCTTGGCTCAGTGATAGGATTTCATAACAAATTTGATAAAAAGAAACACAAGGGTTTAGTTTGGCTTCAGAATTCTGGAGGAAAAGTCAGAATTATTGCCCTGGAATAAAATAATTTCTATAACTGCAGTGACCACATAACTTTGTTGATCTTTTTCATAATAAGATGGAGATAAGTCCTAATGGGATGCATTGGAGTGTTTCCTTTCAAATTCAGGGAATAAACTACTCACAATAAGCTCATCGTACTGTATAATTTTACTATAGGGAATCTTTCAGGTGAATCACTATTTTTAGCCTACACTTTATTCAAGTGTATATTTGGGCTGTTTCAAAGCAAACCTTGAACTAGATGTTCAATTGATCAAGTTCATCTGAATCCTCCTCAACCTGTAAAAGGGTTAATAATACAATACATACAGGTACATAAATTGTTTTGCTATAGGAAATTTGCTCATTAACTTTGATTTCATCCTGTCAGGATATATGGACATTATAAGCAATTCTGCCACAAGTTGCCACCTGAACTATGATGAGTTTTAGCTGTACTGTGGTTCATTTCCCTTCATTGTAAAGCAAGAACTACCAAACTTCCCATGCTTTCAACAAATTAGGTCCAGTACATATCTGTCATATTCTTTGGTATCTTTTTGTTAAAGTTGTTACATACTGTCACCGCCGAGACCCGGGTTCGATTCCCGGTCAGGGCCACTCTCGGGCAGGTGGGGCTCGTTAGCCCTTAAAAAGGCAATCCATCTACGTCCTAAGGACCTCGCTGCCACCGTCCAAGCTCGCTTGGCCCCGGCAGATGAACCTTAGGATTAAAGGGTGGGCTCAGTTCCGCGCACACTGTGTCTCACCTAAAAAATCCAATGCGCAGGCTGGAAGGTGGAAAGACCTTCCCCGGATCTTCGCTTGCGAAGACTGGCCATTATTATTTTTTTTTTTTTTTTGTTACATACTGAAAGCAGCAACACTATTTTCACAGTACCATGAATATTCCCTCGGAGCACATTCTTTTTCCACAGGAGATAAGAGATGCTGAAGACCCAGAAGAAGGAAATAGCCTACAGTTCTATCAGTAGTAGCTATTTTCCCTTATTACTTAAAGAACTGAATTGTAAGAAGAAGAATATCAGAAAAAACTAAGGTAGTCTGTCTAATGATAACCTGGACCCAGATAATGACAGTAACATATTTTTGTTATTATGTAAAATCTGCGGTTTTGACAACTTTTCTATTTTGTTTAAATGGCAGCTTCTCCAGTGCCTACTCATTGTCTCACAAAAAACACACTAAAGGCTGCATTGCAATGGTGGCAGCACCTGCACTTTGCTCTCAACTAACCTGAGAGCTGCCAGCAGACAACCCTTACAACATAGACCTCGGCATGGGCTGCAAAACCCTGCTTAAGGAGCTGGGCACTCCTGCCCCCAGACCTATGCTTACACAGCAATGCTGCCATCAGCACTGTCTGAGCAATTTAAAGCTGGCTCAGGTGCATCTACACTATAGGGCAGATAGAGTTTTCAGAAGGACTAGAAGCTACACAACAGCTTGAAGGATCTGAAAAGGAGAAGATGACCATAAAAGGCCTGACGGACAAAGGGCAATGAAAAACAAGGAAGAGCAGAAAAGAAATCAGATGTAGTCCCATGTGGTATAGTAGACTAGGATCTGAAATAAGCTTATCCAAACAAGCTTATCTAAAAAAATAAAGCTGATTTTTTAAAATTCTGTGCTAAAACTTTTGTGTCAGATCAGAGGGAAACTGCTCTTCATGGTTTCTGCAAGCTCTCTGTGGTGAGAAGGAAATTGGTATTTTTCAGGAACTACTGCAACTTCCCAGGAAATCTGATCTTAATACAGGAAAGGGTAACACTTTTGGTGCCTCCAAAGTTTGGCTTGAACCCATCCTCTCACAAAAAAGGAGTGTCATTAGCCAAGCCTGCTGTAGAACAGGAGAGAAGCATATCCTGGCATTAGAACAAATTGGCATAAACTAGCCATATCTTTCAGAGCACAAAAGCAAACGTTTGTCTACAAGTTTATCTCCAATCAATGAGCAGCCTAACTGGTGACTCTATCTGAAATGCAAATGGCTCAAGACCTCATTTGTGTTGTTTTTGCAATAAAGAGTAAACGAGAAAGTTAGTTGTTTTTGTGAGACTATGCAGAAGGCCTAATCTTGCCTGGCACATTTGTGCCAACTTCGACTATTCATCCCCACAGCTACAGCATGGGTTTCAGCATGGGCTACATTCAACATACATGCTTGCCCGTGCTGCTGACTTCACTGCTGTGCTTACCAGCAGCAGAACTACACGTTACTGTGCTGCATTTGTGTCTCCCTTCCTCACACAGGTAACAGCCCATCTGTAGATCCAGAGGGGACGTTTTTCCCTTGAAGGTATTTGTGTAGGAAGGAAAACACTGAACATAAGGGAACAGGATTGAGAAGCTGGTGCTCCATGAAGTTTCCCCATGCATGGATGCAGGGAAGTGCTGGAGGTAAGGCCAGCTACCACAATAAGCTCTTGGATCAGTTTGCATTGGAACAAGGGATATTTACTGATCAAACCAAGGAACCATGCCCCTCCATCTTTACCAACTGCCTACATACTTGGACTGCAACAAGATCTCAGGGCAGAAGAACCAAAAACATCCAAAAAATACAAGAGCCTAAATACAAATTTCAAAAGAAGGCAGGAATGTAGGAACTTTGGTCCCGATGGACATGAGATGTGAAGAAGGGAGCTAAAGCTACCCGGTGTCTTTTCAAACCAGAAGTTCTGGTTCATCAGCAAGAAATGCCCCCTCTTAGGCAGGTGCTATTTTAGGTGTACTCTTGTGTTATGAATTAAAAGGCTGCCCTGCAAGTTTGCAGTCAGACACTGCTAGTTTCTGCAGTAAATTAGTACATCAGCAGATGGCACTGCAACCCAGCAGGCCTTTTGCTGTGCTCACTGCCTACACTCCATGGAGGTATGGGCTGCATGCTGGAGCGCTGTGCAGCACAGCTCACAAAATATAGTTACAGCATTGGCAGGTATTTCCAAACACTTGAGTTAGATGAGTTCCCCACAAAATCTTTGCTACTTGCATCTGCTCCAACATGTTTCTTTCAAAATTAAAATTCCTCACATTATTATCATCTTTTTTTTTAATCCCTCTTCAGGGATTTCTGCTGAATAGTTTATAATGTCTGGATGGAGAGAACTCAGCCTTCATTTTTTACTGGGCTAGAACCAAAAGGAGTCATCTGTTTCTTAAATGGCCTTCAATAAAAAAAAAATTCTGAAGATTAAAAAAGAAAGGGTGAATAAAAAGTAATCACATCTTCTATTCCTTAATAAATATAGATATTCCATCTACTGTCTATAACTATTTAAAAGTTCATTCTTCTGAACACTGATAATTAAAAACAAAACAAGTAATCAAAGGAAAGAAAAGCTTTTTGTAAACCACTAGTGAATATTGAGTCTAATGTTGATAATCTATGGATTCTTTAGCTTGAAGAACTCTCTTATATGTAAACATACTGATAGAGAGACAACATGAAGATTTTGCACTACTTCATTCCTCAAAAGATGAAAGAGTATGGGTAATTCCTCCTTCTTCTAAAGAAAAGCCAAAATGTTAATTCAAAATAGGTCCTAACAGTAGCAATCCCTAAGCATCAGCAGCTTCTTATCCTTTGGTAAGAAAACTCCCACACCAGGAAGGAGACAGTATGAGCTTGCAAATGGTGCCACTCTGCCACAGCCTATTTATCCCTGGAAGTGATTTTCGCTCTGCTCAAATGTATGCAGTCCAGACATTTAGCAGTGGGAGTGAAATACCAAGG